AATGATGTTTTTGGTTGTTTTCAGTATTTTGAGTAGACGCGCTTAATTCAATAATGGCTGTTCACCAAAGGATGACAGCCCCATAGACCAAATATTATTTGAAGACAAAATAGTCGCTTTGAAAACGCATTTCTCCGGATATCGCTTCCCCATCGGTGCCACACGTCGAACTTAGTCATATCAATCGCATTTACTGGGTCTTGAAGAGCAGAATCGCGCAGTGGCCGAGGTAGAAGTAGATGAAGTGCTTGGTCTCTGTTGCATATTGGATTAGTATCTCGTTATCAACATAAGGGTCCCGAAATCAAGATACCATGGGTAACAAAGCTTCCAAAGTTACGGCCAACCACGCAGTGCCAGGAAGCACCCTTGCGCGAGTCGAACTGATGTATGGGGTTAGAAATGCGATCGGGGCGGGGTAGAACTGGCGGACCTCTTTCTTGATGTACTGGGCAATATCCTGTGAATGGTTATTATCGTATTCATATTTCCGAGTAGTCAAGAAGTGCGCGAACCTTTTCCACTCTGAACTTCTCCGTGGCCTCAATGGCTGAGGGGGGGTTAGCCTTGTTTTTCCAGGGTGCTCTCAATACTTCATACCAAGGGCAATAGCCTCCTGCTGCATATCCTCGGTCTAGGAAGTGGGTCAGAATAAATTCACCATCGCTGTTTCGCATGAGTGTCCTTACCATGTCCACAGACTTAATCTGCGCTGCACCGATCATTTAGCAATTAGTCAGTTGGACTTACAGGGGGTAAACTTACCCTCCATGGGCTCCTTTTTCTCAGCTGGGGGAAGTGCCATTGTTAGTAATTATTGTATCAAACCAAAAAAATTTGAAGGCGAATTGGTGATGCAATAAAAAAGGAATGGGGTAGGTAGCCGTAATTTCGCGATAACGTGAAGCCAGGGTATCTTTATTGCCGGAAGAGCAATCAGACCGCCTGACAGACCGCCCGCGGCACTATGAAAGAAGAGAAAAAAAGTTTTTCTCATAGAAACTTCGAGTCTTCACACTCACAGCAAATTCCCAACATGGAGAGCACCAGAGTGTTCGTGGGTGGTCTCCCACCCACATGCTCCAATGATCAGCTTAAAAAACACTTTGCTACTCGCTTTCAAGTCACCGATGCTCATGTCCTACCCAAACGTAGGATGGGATTCGTCGGCTTCAAGAGCCATGAAGCTGCTCAGCAAGCTGTCAAACACTTCAACAAGACATACATGAAGATGTCAAAGATTGCTGTAGACATCGCTCGTCCGGTATGTCGATTCTCCGCTCTTTTGCTTCAGCCACCCTCCTTTCGCCTGTGCACGCTGACCAATTAAGGTGGTCTTGAGACTGACCCGTATTATTGCAGATTGATTCCAATGACGCCGAGGATGCTCACCCCACACGAAGACGTGATACCACGAATGTTAATGATGCATCGTTGGATAACAAACTCAAGCGCAAGAGGGATGGCGAGAACAAGTCAGACCCTAAGCTACAGGAGTATCTTTCTCTAATGGGATCGTCATCAAAAACTCGGACATGGGCCAATGATGATGAAATGATCAAGCCATCTGTGGACACTATTCCTGTTATTAACCAACCCACACAGGAAGAAGAGGAGCTGCAGGAGCTGCCTTCACGCTCGAAAAAGGTGAAGAAAGAGGAATATCCAACGGTAGCAGAGCCTGAACAGCCTCAGCCAATGCTTGTTGACAAGAGTGAGGAAAAGGAGGATCAAGAAACACCAGAACAGGATAACTTTGCGGGACCTGAAGTGGAAACTGCACCTGTATCTGATGCAGACTGGCTACGATCAAAGACGAGTCGTCTGTTGGGCCTTCTCGATGAGGAAGAGCAAGATGAGTTCGATCAGCAGAAGGCCACCGCACCCACTACTGCGGTGACTAGAGCTGCCTCACCACCTTCGTCTGACAATGAGTCGCCGCAGCGTGACGAGGAATCGCGCACTGCGGCTATTGAGAAAAGTGCGCCCAACACGACTGACGTTGACAGCACCAATGAGGCAACGCCTATAGATCCGAATATTGATCTTATTCGGAACTCCGCGCGTTTGTTCCTCAGAAATCTTGCATACGACACTACAGAATCGGATCTCCAACCCATTTTTGAACGGTTCGGAAAGATTGACGAGGTTAGTACTTTTTTTTGTTCTTGCTTATTCACTTTGCCCCAAATTCTCTCACCGGCTAGCTGGCTTTTAGCCTGCTTGCCACGAGTGCTCGTATGATGACTTTCCTGATAGGGACATCTGATGCAAATTGCATATGATGTTACTAGGACAAGATATTTTAGTAGATGCTTCTTGACTATCTGAAAGAGCCAACCCAACCCATTTTTACACATACACAAATTATATTCAATGACCTTGAGTACTAATTGGATATAGATTCATGTTGCTTTTGACACCCGCTCCACGACTAGCAAAGGATTTGCTTATGTGCAATACTCCGATGCCGATGCGGCGATTGATGCTTACCAGACCCTCGATGGAAAACATTTCCAGGGTCGCCTGCTCCATATCTTGCCTGCTTCTGCGAAGAAGACCTACAAGATTGACGAGTATGAATTATCCAAGCTTCCTCTCAAAAAACAACGGGAGATCAAGCGGAAACAAAACGCCGGCTCGTCTTCATTCAGCTGGAACTCCCTATACATGAACGTGAGTTGACCTTCTACCATGAATGAAGCATTGAGACTGACTTTGTTACAGGCCGACGCTGTAATGTCATCAGTGGCCGGAACGCTCGGAGTCTCCAAATCTGAACTACTTGACCCCACCTCTTCAGATGCTGCCGTGAAGCAAGCACATGCTGAAACGCATGTGATTCAAGAAACGAAAGCCTACTTTGCCTCGAACGGGGTGAATATTGATGCTTTCAAGCAGCGTGAACGTGGTAATACGGCTATTCTAGTCAAGAACTTCTCATATGGTGTCACATCGGCGGAGCTCAGAAGTCTGTTCGAACCATATGGCAAGATCATCCGACTCTTAATGCCACCAAGTGGCACCATTGCAATTGTGGAGTTTGCGCAACCAGATGAGGCCCAAAAGGCTTTCAAGGGCATGGCATACCGCAAGATGGGTGATTCCATCTTGTTCCTGGAGAAAGCGCCGAAGAATTTGTTCGATGGTTCAGCAGCTCCGCGTGCACTTGCTCCAGAGACCCGGGGCAAGGATCAAGGGTTCTCAACTGCGGACACATTTGCCGCGGATGAGCCTGATGACAGCGTAGCAACCACGACACTGTTCGTAAAGAACCTCAATTTCTCCACCACCAATGAAAAGTTCCTGGAAGTGTTCCGATCTCTGGATGGCTTCATCACCGGTCGGATCAAGACCAAACCAGATCCCAAGCGACCAGGACAGACCCTCAGTATGGGATTCGGCTTCGCGGATTTCAAAACCAAGGGTCAAGCTCAGGCTGCCATGACAGCTATGAACGGCTACAAGTTGGATCAGCATGAGCTTCTCATTCGTGCCTCCCACAAGGGCAAGGACGCTGCCGAGGAGCGAAGACGCGAAGATACTGCGAAGAAGGTCGCGGCGCGCAGAACAAAAATCATCATCAAGAACTTGCCGTTCCAGGCTACCAAAAAGGACATCAGATCTCTATTCGGTGCTTACGGACAGCTTCGGTCTGTACGTGTTCCTCAAAAATTCGACCACACCGCTCGCGGTTTCGGGTTTTGCAGACTTTGTAAGCGCCCGCGAAGCGGAAAATGCCATGGACGCGTTGAAGAACACGCATCTCCTGGGGAGACGATTGGTTTTGGAGTTCGTGAACGAGGAGGCCGTCGATCCCGAGGAGGAGCTTGCGCGCTTAGAGAAGAAGGTAGGAGAGCAGATGGACAGGGTCAAGCTTCAACAGCTTACTTCAGGCGCCGGGCGCAAGAAGTTCACTGTAGGAGGGCAGGAGGAAGAGTAAAGCCCTGGTCCCTTCTCCCTTTGACAAGGATACGGCCATGGATTGGCTCGTTAACACCCCTTGCAGGGAAAAGGTGGATTAATGTACCGTGTACGATTACTTGCATACTACCATAGCCTACATTATGGCAATAAAAAGATACCCCGAATAATTTTGAGCACGTTCGTTGCGGCTGTCAATTACCTGCAGTCCCGTCCTCGTGCGTCTCGTGCCCTCTTGATCCAGGCGTAACTGTAACCCTACTTTACCTTACTGTGCAACACTTTTTTTGGTTCTTCCCCACAACTTCGACCAAACTGCACCTTGGATCGTAGGGTCAATTTACCGTATTCAGCCTACTCTTCTGATGGCACGCAGGACTATCGGCAACAGAGATCAGCCAAGCCTGCATTCCGGCGGTGATTGCTGCCGGTGGTCAAGCATTCCAGGTCCCGTGCGAGAAGACAATCTCGTTGGACCACCAAACATTCTTGCGACGCCATGATTGCCACTGATTGTTGTCGTTTTTTGTTGATCTTGGCCAAACCGATGCGTGTTCATGGTCACCTCGTCTGCACAAAATCTCCGACCCACTCATCACTGGATCGTGCTGCTGAGCACCCCTTGCATCCTGGACCAACTTCCCTTCATATCGAGCCCTGTCTTGACTCCTGATTTGCTGCGGCAAGGTCAGCTTGCCGTTGTCCTTTGGTCCTCTGCTCTCCACACGACGCCTGGACGTGCGCGGGCCAGGACTATGACCTGGCCAGGAGTATGGACAAGGCGTTCGAGGGACCGTAGGCCAGGCAAAGCAGACCTGGCGGAGCAATGTTGCTACTGGGGCTACAGAACCCCTCTCCAAAGGGGAGTTATGGTTCCATATAAACACCATCTTGCTCGCTCTCACATTCTCTTTCCCAGGTTCTTACATTCTCTTGACATCTTGCGTTCTTTGGGTCGTTGTTTGTGACTGAGCTGCGTTCTTTGCCAGGCAGTAAGCATTTGACGGTGCCTCTCAGTCCCCCTCCTCATCGGAATCTGTCATTCTTTTCGAGAAGCCCGTCCTTGGTACCCTCCCATGGCTACTGACTGGCAACCGGAGTGCCTTGTCACTCAGAACCAGCCATCACTGGATCCTGTTGGCGCCCATTCTGATCGAGCTTTGCAGAATACCACTGGGAATGTCCAGTCTTATTCAGACCATTTGGCTCATGCTGATATCGCTGCTCGTGAGGATCAACTCCATCAGCTTGGCTTCAAGTATCCTCCTGCCCCTCACCCTCCTCAACCCTTGTCGGCGCCGTCTAGCTTGCATCAGCAGCATGTAGCCGCTCGGCTTCACCAACGGAAGCTTCGCAGACTTCACTCGGTTGGACCCAACTCTCAGTCTCGCCGGGCACGAAGCAGCTACCTCAGGTCCCAGAAGTACTTGGAGTACCGGGATCGTCCTCGTCGTGATACCGGGAAAGATGGAGAGCCAGTGTGGGCTGATGAGTTGGAGGATGCTTTCCAGCAAGGTGGGTTGACATCACCATGGCCATTCCTACATTGACCAAAAGCTAACAACTGATTCCAGCCCTCGAAGCAAATCCTCCCATGGGTCGGAGAAAGTGGTCCGAACGGGGCAAGTCGTATGGCCGCAACGAGCTGATTGCTGAGTACATTTTCAAATTGACTGGCAAACGGAGAACTCGTAAGCAGGTGTCAAGCCATCTGCAGGTCCTCGACTCTTTCTTGAAGGGTGATCCCGATTGTGAGTTCTTGAATATGAATGATGGTCACGTCCCATTTTACTAATACACTATGTCAGGGGAGCGACTTGTCCGTGAGGCATCACCAGAGCGATCATCGAGTGTGCATAGCTCAGCACCCGCTCCCAAATGGAGAACGGCAGTGGAGCACCCATCGGCGCCCAGCCACTACGGCAATCATACGCAGCCATCATACCATGACCACATGAGATCCATGCAGCCATATGCCGGAGATCTCCCACCGCCACACTTTACCCTTGGCTCCAACATGCAGGAGACTGCTACTAGCTCCATTCATGGCTTTAACTTCGACATGTGGGTCAGCGCTCCGCAGCAAGCCAACCGCATAGACAAGGCATTGCATGCATACACTCGTCTGCAGGGGAATTTGCACCACCCCAGTCAACCGCCCATGGCCCTTGAGAATTTGAGTGGGTGGCGGTCCTCCTTCCCCCACCTGGCTTCCATGGTGGATGACATCAACAACCCTCTGGACTGTGAGATCATCTTCTTAGAAGTGGACCTTCAGCTCATGAACGACTTCCCTCCCACGGGATCACGACTGGGAATCCAGCTTGACCTTGATTTCGGTCACCCTACTGCTGGCGATGTGTTGGGAGTCAGCCAGATGGACAATTGGACCTGCAGCACGTATGTCTACGAAGATAGCCAGAAGATTCTAGAGTCTTACCACGACCTACCCAAAACCCAGTCAACCAAGGTCAAGCCTCTCTTCGAATCATCCTGGTGGGCTCAGATGTTCACTAGGTTGACTCAAGACAAGCGTATGGCCGAGGATTCGGGGAACCCCCAAAATGCTCGCGAGACTGCCGAGAATACCCGTCAATTCTTCCAATCCTTGTCTGCAGTACAAGAGCTCCGGGCCACCTCGCCTAGCTCTCGCCATATTCCTAATCAATACCAAGGTCATCACGGCGATGAGAGCAAGCGCATGGCCGTCCTGGTCTGGAAGTTCCGACAAACCGGGCCCGGCGAAGTTGGCACTACTACTTGGAGAAGACTAATTCCGGCTCCCGATCGGACTACAACTAACAGTCCGCGCCCAACCACCGGGGTTGATCTTCCACCCCTTTCCCTGGACTCTATTCTCCTCAACAAACCGTCCCACCAGGGTGTCTACCACGCCCCTCAGCCTCATGATCTCATCCACCACCCGAGTCAATCCCACTCACAATGGCCCATGTACCAACCATCCCACGATAATGTGGCTAATCTCTTTAATTCCTCCAATCATCTCGACTTCATGACTTCTATCAGCAAAGCCGAAGATGGACTCAATGACAAAATCGCCGTCACCTCTGTGCTGGACTCCTTTTCCACCAGCCTCGCTCCCGAGAGCATCCCATCTACAAGCCTGCACGGCTCCAGCGGTGCACCAGTCATGCTCAATGTACATGACATGCCGCTCTCCCACCCAGGGATGAATTACACAATGGGCCACGAAGCATCCCACTACGTGCCGCCTCAACAGCACGGCGTGAACATGCACGATAGCAACAGTGTGCTCCACGGCTTCTTTGGCTCTAACCCCCAGTCGCTTGATGATCTCAGTCATGGCCAGGCCTCATGGGGAGCGCACTCCACATCCATTCCCGGAGACGTTGGCGCCGGGAGTTACCATCTTCCCTACCAGGCGGAGCACCATGGACCGTCACGCGACTCGCAGCCACACCATTTCGACAATCTCTTGCCATCGGAGGACCTAATGGATAAGATTGTCGGCCGCATGTCTAATGGTCCCAGCATGCATGGGGCGGGCCCTGATGCGGGTGCGGGCTATGATAACGCCACGGTGGATGCAGTATAACGACATAAATTACAAAAACCATAATGATAATCCTTAATCATCCTGGCACTGTGTGTTGTATTTTTTTTTCTTCTGATTTTCTGTGATTTTATTTTCTTCTGTGGCATGGGAATATCAAGGAACCGGGGGGAGTCGGGATGTTTGGGCGTTTGGAGAAAAACACTTTGCAATATTGAATTAACAGGAACAATTGATAATCGGAGTTATTATATACCAATCATTTACTTCCCTTTGGCTATTATTCAATAAAATAAGTCCCAGTCGGCTAAACTCCCCCTAATCAACCACTTTAGCCGCAAAAAACAATTTCACCGGTGGGGCCGTTCTGGGGATTTCCAGCAACGAAGGCCACAGGGAGGCTATGGAAAGACCAATTGAGCTATATTCGGCTGATTTAGCCTGGACCTTGACATTTTCTGTATGTCTTGGAGATATTTCAAATACTACCGGCGGGGTCCATACTTATATACCCCTCTATGCCCCAATTTCTGGTTTTTTTCTTTCTTTAGATTCATTTAGACTACATTCACAATGGTTGCTCCTACTGTCAAGCTTAACAACGGCTTTGAGATGCCCCTTGTGGGCTTCGGCCTCTGGAAGGTCAACAATGACACTTGTGCCGACCAGGTCTACAACGCCATTAAAGCCGGTTACCGTCTCTTCGATGGCGCCTGCGGTACAGTCACCCTTCCCCGAACCCAGCCCTAGTTGACACTAACACCATTAACCCCAGACTACGGTAACGAGGTCGAAGCCGGTCAGGGTGTAGCCCGCGCCATTAAGGATGGTCTCGTCAAGCGCGAGGAGCTCTTCATCGTCTCCAAGCTCTGGAACAGCTTCCACGAGGCTGACAAGGTCGAGCCCATCGCTCGCAAACAGCTCGCCGACTGGGGCGTCGACTACTTTGATCTGTACATCGTGCACTTCCCCATTGCCCTGAAGTACCTCGACCCCTCCGTGCGCTACCCCCCCAGCTGGACCACCGCTGAGGGTAAGATCGAGCTCGCCAACGCTCCCATCCACGAGACCTGGGGCGCCATGGAGACCCTCGTCGACAAGAAGCTCGCTCGCAGCATCGGTGTCAGCAACTTCAGCGCCCAGCTCCTGATGGATCTGCTCCGCTACGCCCGCGTCCGCCCCGCCACCCTCCAGATCGAGCACCACCCCTACCTCACCCAGACCCGTCTCGTCGACTACGCCCAGGAGCAGGGTCTCACTGTCACTGCTTACTCTTCTTTCGGTCCTCTCAGCTTCATCGAGCTTGACCTCAAGCACGCTAAGGATACTCCTTTGCTCTTCGAGCACGCTACTATCACCAGCATTGCCGAGAAGCACAACCGCACTCCCGCCCAGGTCCTGCTGCGCTGGTCTACTCAGCGCAACATCGCTGTTATTCCCAAGAGCAACAACCCTACCCGTCTTGCTCAGAACTTGACCGTCACTGACTTCGACCTTGAGGCCTCCGAGCTCGAGGCTATCAGTGCTCTGGACAAGGGTCTTCGTTTCAACGACCCCATTGCTGTAAGTTTGGTTTCTGTGGAGTATTGATTATTGATACTGACTGTTTTTTTTTAGTACGGCCTTGGAATCCCCATCTTCTAAGCGTGTCCAGACTAGGAGACGGAAGAAATCCCGTGTCCGGAGAGGGGAGAATTCTCCGCAATATTATGACGATTTTTATGCCTTGGATAAATTAAATAAAAACATACCACTTTCAATTTCTTTCCATATCTTCACATCTTCCATATTAGACAGGAACTTCGGCTTCCTACCTACTCCGTACACAAGGTCCATCATACCTTGGGCCCTGGGACCGGTGCCGGGCCTCCCGGGTGCACTCGAGTGATTACGTAAGAGCATTTAACCGCAGCCTTGGAAGGTTTAGGGCTTGTCGTTAGAAGGCTTGCGGCCCTACAACCGTTGATATCTCAAACTAGCGATACAAACAGGTTATATGTAAAACGTCAGAAATTACCTGATATGAACGTCGCAAGTCAGGTTGATTCGAAGGATAGAGAGTCGAGAGAAAGGTCGTTTTAACAGTACACTAAGCAAGAATGATACTAACTTGGTCAACCTCAATGACAACTATAGTTACAAAAGGCTAAATATACCGTATGGTAGTGAGGAGCACTGAGAAGGCAATTCAATGGCTTGAAATCATGTATCTAGGAGTACTTATCATCTTATTGGACGCTTTGGGAGGCCATAAATACCCTATCCAGTCTTCTGATGGCATGGTAAAAAGAGTGGTCGCGAATACGGTTTGTGATGTCTTCTCAGTGGTCTTCTCGAAAAGTTTGCCCAGATGTCTTTTTCTGAGAAATTCTCTCTCCCTCCTTAGTTTTATTGGTTTATTGGTAGGTAGACAGCAGAGAGAAAACAGAGGCCTACTTCGTGAAAACGAATCTGAAATATAACCTGGTAGATGACAAGCTTTGCTATCTGCTATATCACGAGAGACTCGGTATGCATTCCTTTCCGCACGCAGAACGTATATGTAATATCCAACCTGGCCGCAGACTGTCCACCGACGACATGTACCCAAGACAAAGTCTCGATCCTCTGCCACACAGCTATTTCTTCCATGCTCGGTATTATTTGTCCCTCTCTGAGCCCCCCCTCTTCAATCTCGATTACCCGCTCAACCAACCTGGCAGCAGAAATGCTATCCCAAACCGCCTCCCGTATCGGTTGCCGTCGCAAGATACCCAAGACCTCGCGTCGGACCATAGGATGTCGACATTTGATCCCGATGATATAAAGCACGGGAACAATTCCAATCTCCGGCGTAAATCTCGGCTTTAACGACCCCGAATACCGCTCATGTGCTGCCGCTATCTCGTCTGCCAAGGCCAGGCATTGCTGGAACTGGGGCAGGAAGTTGTCATAGTCCATTTCCCTGCCCGGACCGTCATTACTGAGGAAAATCCACGCGACAGTATGTTGTAGACGCAGCAGTGATATGAGCGGGTAAGTCTTAGGATCTATCTCATAAGAGCTGCGTTGTTGCAGTATGTTTTGGAAGAGATTCGACCATGTTTCCAACTGCCGGAGGATGATATCCTTTAGTGACGAAGGTGACGGCACCTGACCCATCAGGGCAATTTGCTGTTCCGTGTTGTGCAGTCTCATTATCCAAGCGACAAGGACCTGGAGGTGGTCGGCGGCTTGGTCGAGAGACTGAAAGGTATTGCCGGAAGGGAGAAGCTGGAACATAAGTGTTTCCTGGATATCAGCTGGAGTCCAGTCGACCAGAAATGTTGCGGCCTGCCTATCGAGACGGCGGATTTGTCTTGTGATTTGACAGATAAGCGTGTGAGCCCCCGGGGGGTTGGAATTGTCATATGTAATGTTGCTGTTCAGTATAGCCTCATCGATGTTGCGTGAGAGCTCGACACCTCCGCGCAGGTGCTTAAGTGCTTGTACGTAGTTGCCTGCTAGATGATCAAAGCAGGTGAAGAGATAGCAGACCAAAAGGGTGACGGCTGTTATATGGGTGCTATCACCACTTTCCTGGTTTAGAAGAAGTTGAATGGCCCGATTGTAGTAAAGCAGGGGAGCCTTGTCCGGTAACCCGCCTTCCGAAGATTGTGGTCGATGCACACGATCGCTAGGGTCGCGGTTCAGATATTCTCGGTGTATCAAGGCCAGAGCAATGGCGGCATGCCGCACCGACGGCACTGTTTGAGAGAAGAACATAAGAGTCTTTCGCCATGATTCGCAGGGGTGGTATTCATTCAAATGCTTGATCGAAATATCTTCGAAAAAACACATTGCTTCTGTCTGGGCGGACCCAGTCACTGGTAGGATCATGAAGGGTCCGAGATTCTGCGTAATGAGGCCATGGCATTTTGCGCGCCATTGTTTTGGCTGATATGCACTGATAGTGGTGCTAGGGTGGTAACTATTGAAGCTTTCTGCGCTGTCGGCCTTCTTGTTGTGATAATGACTTGATTCAATCTCGGTCTTCTCGGTCCTGAAGGCAAGGGGTATTTCACTATAACCATCACAGATGCGACCTGTGGAATGGCATTTTAAGCATGAAGGCCGAGATAGATCGCATTTTATTCGTCTGATCCTGAGGCATGCATCGAAGTTGAGGGTCAGTTTTTGGTTCTTTGCACACAATTGACCGCTCTGAGTCAAGTCTCACTTGCAAGTCTTACAGCCTAATCTTGACTTTGGAGCGAACTGGCGAGGTTTTCGTCTCCAAGCTTGATTGGCTGTCTTGGTATTCACGTTCTTGATTTCGTCCATCATGTTGATGTTAGGCCAAGGTTTGCAGTATGCTCTTTTTCAACTAGAGGACAATCCCGGGACCATGGCCTATAAGCCGCCAATTGCGCACGGAATTGACGAAAAGCAAGACATAGGTACCGATCGAATTTGCTGAGTTTCATCTACTCGACCATTCGTATGGTGGTGGGGGATTCATCTGCGACCTGACGCACACTTATGAGAAAGGATACAAAAAAAGAAACCAATCATTGTACTTCCTGCCGATGACTCCGTGTCATGATACATTTTGATTGGCTAGTTCGTACAAGCGGGGAGCAATAGCTTACACAGAAACCAATCAGGATATTACATGAGACTAGTGCTTATTATAAGTGTTGATTGACTACATTGGTTCAAGCCTACCATTTACATAGGTGAGGTGAATACGTGCCAAACATTTCTGGGTCTCTAGAGTATACTATCTATGTGGACGGTCCACGGGCGTGTCCAGTCAATCACGCCTGAGAATAGACTGAAGCCTTATACCCACTAATACAATGGGGTCAGGACTTATGCTAACCTCCCCAGTTAAGACCAGTGGCGATATTGGCTGGTTCGTACAAGCGGAGCGCCAGAGTATGCACAATAGGTATTGGGAGTGGATAGAGGGAACAAGGCAGCCTAAGAAGCTGAGCAATTGAAACTGGCAAAACTGGTTGACAGGTTTCTTAGGCAATTCAACTGGTATAAATAGTTCCCTGATATCGAAGTATGCCAGCTCCAATTACAAATATCACAATTTTATTGCAAGCAACATCACTTAAATCCCAATGAGGAAACTTCTGGGGATGCACCTGAAACGACTTGTGAATGGACTCATTCTTTTCATCTTGGGATGCAAAGCTGACAGTTGGCATGGCTTAGGCATGGTCTATGGATTTGACAATGTAAGTCTTGAACTTTGCCGAAACACATCCCCTAAGGCTTTCAGGCTTCCTGACTAGGAATCTAGATTGAACCATCGTCCAATCTCACGTGGACACCATGTTTCGATGACTTCACATGCTCTAGACTGGAAGTCCCTTTGGATCATTCAAACAGAAGTCTTGGTACGACGTCACTCGCTTTTATAAAACTGGCTGGCAAGAATGCTACCTTCGAGTCCCCAAGCATTGTACTCATTCCCGGTAAGATCTCAATTGAGCCAATCATAAACAGTCACTTGGAGCCCATTGAACTGGTTTAACACTTTGTTAGGCGGCCCAGGTGGTTCTGGTGTCGACCTCCTCCTCACATACCGGTCCCTCGTAGGGCAAATATTCGGAGAGCAGTACAACTTCGTCTCCTTTGACCCTCGTGGCGTGAACAACAGCAATTTGAATCTCGACTGTTTCTCGGGGAACGTAGAAGCAAGACTAGCCTTCAATCGACTACACAATACAGGCGCTACTGACATCTCATCAACATCAATTGAAGAACAGTACTATTCAAGCTCTATCTACGGAGAGTGGTGCAACAATGCTGTCGAGAAGGAATCACCTCACGGATATTATGTGACTACACCGGCAGTTGCCCATGATCTGCTCACATTTATCGAAGCCGAGGCTGAGGTGGCCGGTCAATCACCATCAGACGCCAGATTGTGGTGTTATGGTATCAGCTACGGCACTGTCATCGGCAGCACTTTCGCTTCCATGTTTCCTGACCGGGTTGGGAGAATGGTACTCGACGGGGTTATAAATACAGAGCAGTATTACAACAATGACTGGAGGGATAACGTCGACCAAATGGACGAGGCCATGAAGAAGTTCTCGAGTTTCTGTCATTCCGCAGGTCCTAAAAAGTGTTCCTTCTGGGGACCCACGCCAGCTCACATCATGGCCAGAATGGACGGCATCATCCACCAGCTTCAGCACCATCCGGTCCCGGTAAGCGCAGTCCAAACTCGAGATCTGCCGACACTGGTCACCTTATCAGACCTGAAGGCTCTTTTCCTCAACACTATCTACGCCCCACTGGCGAAATTCCCCGCCATGGCCGATGCCCTACATCAGCTCGAGCGTGGGGACGCGTCTGCTCTTGTGGGCATGTTTGACGGCTTGACTTCTACATCCGATGCCCGTCTCGTCATCCAGTGTGCCGATTCGTATCATAGGAACAAGCTTACTACCATCGAAGAATTCAGGAGTTACATCGAGTACACGAGTTCCAAGAGCAAGTATACCGGTGATATCTACCCTATCTTCTTGGATACCATCTTGTGCAAATCATTTCGACCGCGATTGCCTGATAGCATGGTGGTTCAAGGTAGGCAGCTCTCTTTCTCACACTCTCTCCATCTCTCTCTTTTCTTTCGCAATCCAAACTTCATCTTCGGGGAAGTAAACATCGGCATTGAGGGTAAAATCTGACCAGTTCTTTTTTATGTAGGCCCAATAAGCGAACTCAAAGCGCCTACGTCCTTCCCGATCCTATTTGCGAGTAATACCGTCGACCCTATAACGCCATTAAAATCGTACGTTTCAGCCAATTTGTCTCGTCTGGTATGTCGCTAATTGGCTTTATCTCTTCGCAGGGCGCGCAAGATGTCTTCTCGATTTACAGGATCGGTACTCCTTTTGCAAGAAGCCGTTGGTGTAAGTTAACAAGAAATCACACAGCCATCTCAAACAAGGACCTAGGCTTACTGGGACGATTTTCTTGAATGCAGCATACAGTCATCGACCAGGGTGCCTCGAACTGTTACTTTGGACATGTTCAGGCATACCTTCAAGGCATAGTTCCACCGTTCGGCATTACATGCCCACAGCAGCACATACCTTTCATAGACAACCCTGTTTAAAAATTGTTAAAGCTGCGGAGAAGGGGGAGGTATTCGCTAGTGCCGCCACATCAAAGTCTAGCGATCTATAGCCTCATACTATATGAAAGACCTAATCTCTTTCCTATTGAAAAAGGGGCTGAACAAGGTTAGATACTATACTAAATCAGGTCTCTTATAGTAATTCAGGTCATTCAATTTCGTCTATTTCCGTCTAAAATCAGGCATAATTCAGGCACCAACACTGGAAAATCAGGCATCAGGCTCGCCGCTGTGCACCTTCACATACATCGGCAATTCCGCCAAGCCGATCTCGATCCGCCATTTTTCTCCAAACCTCTGTCTTGACTTCCCAACATAAAACACAATGGTGTCCCCTACTCTAGCGCGTTTGACCGCGCAGGTCCACATTACCGGATATCCCATGCCAAAGAACCTAGCCGAAAGCAAGCTGCTACTAGGCGCCCTCCAGAAATTCGGAGATGTATTAACATATCGCAACCTCAAGGCACGGCGTTCTTAAATTACCATCAAGACAAGCCACGATCTAATAATTTCCTCAGTACGACACAACCAATACCTCACCAAACCCCAACCGCCCTATCGTCGCGATTTTCGATACAGCCGACGCAGCAGACCGCGCGATAGCAGCTTCGCCCATAACAATTCCTCTACCGACATCCACATCAACCTCCGCCTCTAAATCTCACCCTACAACCTCTATTCCATTTACATCAACCACGAATCAAACCCCAGATACCCCTCGCTCACTGACCTTCGAGATCCAACACTCGCGCCACAACCACGCGTCCGCCCTCAAACGAAGCCCCTTCTACTCCACCTACAACCTCTTTAAAAACAACCCAGTCTATGAAGATCTGATCAGCGAGGAGACCGGTATCCCGCTCAAAGAACTGGCTGATACGCTCTCGAGCAAGAAGTATCCTATCGGCGCTGGCGTCAAGTTTAATATCCAAGAAGAGAATCGGCGCATGGGCGCGACAAGCTTGGTGAATATGTGGAAGGAGGGAATGGGTATTGAGATTGAGAATGAGGGGCGGGATTCTGGTGAGAATGGATCTGAGATTGAAAATGTCGGTGGTGGTATTCGGGAGCCTGGGGAGGGATTGGACGAGAAGAAGAGCTCAGTGGTTTGAGTTGGAGAGTGGGTTTGGCCTGTTCTTGTTGCCTATAGGGTAATAAGAGAGGAATGGCCCTTTTTCCTCCTGGACACTGCAGCGGCTGAAGCAGAGACAGCAAAACCAAAGGAAGAAAGACTTCCTTGCGATGGCGGCCAGCTGAAGGCGCAGATGGAATTGCCTTCATGGCACCAAATTCCACAGCCGTGGCTTGCTTTGATCGATCTGCAATCATAAATAGTCTGCTTGGAAATGGTGGTTCCTCGGTCTGGTCTGCCGGCCATGACCACCCTAAGCTTCCTCGGTCCATGACATCTACAGGGTCAACATGGATGATAATGCCATGTGGACTGTCTCAATATCCCCAATATCAAGCAATTGACTTGCATACCACCGGGCGGGTTCCTGGTGACCGCAAAAGGGCAGAGAGAGCCCACGGATGGGTGGACCAGGCGATCAGATCCAACTACATGTATATATTGTCAATCATATACAGAATGAGCATGGTACTTATCCCTTCCCAACAGCCCTTTAGCTTTTGCTTTCCTTCACACCAGTCTCGTCTCATAGTTTTCTTTGTAACCTTCTCCCCGCTCATTTCCTACAACATTCCCATCACCGAACTACTTCACACTTGGGCCAATTATTCATTTCTCAAGCACAATCATATTTCGCATTTGATAGCAGTTTGCACAGATGAATCCCATGTGCTATTGATTACATGGGTGCGATCCATATCTTTTGGTGGCGTGGTCCTTGCACGTTCAAATCACAATATTGCGGCCTTGCGCGAGAGGCCCTCACCCTGAAGCAGGCTAACCAGCTAGAGAGACCACCTTGACAAGGTCTGCTGGGACTATCTTAAGCCAAGAATCTCATGGGGGGAGCTTTCAGTATACTGGATGGAGTTTGATTTGGCGGAAGTTCTAGCAGGCACCCACGCCAAGCTAGTGATAGATGCCATGGTCGCTCATCTATAGTCGTTTGGGAGAACATATAGTGTATGAACCGGTGTTTCCTATGGTCAAGGTTGCTGCATTGTTCTCGATCCCCAAAGCTGCGTCAATACAACGGACGCTGATGGAGGAGCAGGGTGTGATCGTTGGATGCCGCACGAAGCACACGTCACAAGCGGATTTCATCGATACCGAATAAGGTCGAGCATGACCTGGGCTCAGAATCACTGGGTCCAACGAGTTAGAGCGCGACAGGTCTTCTCCACCAAGGTCCCGGGCGTACGTTTCACCAAGCACAAGGAAGTCGGGCAGGAATATAAGTGGTCGCGGTCGCTTTGTTTACATCTGGCTCGCGATACCTCGAACAAAGGGTATCATTTCATGGTATGTCCTAGAAGGTTATACAAAGCATTATATAAAGAACTTGAGCTAGGTAGCTAGACTGTAAAATTAAATAGCCGCTGGAAATGGTTGAGCAGGACAAGGGAAATGATAGTAATTATACAATTATATATGGCCAAACCTGACGCCTGATATCTCAAAGGGGTACCTAGGTAAACGAACAACATGACTAATTACATACTGAGGTAGCACTACCTCAAACTTCGCCAATTTTCAAGTGCTAGAATATGTGGCCGTTGTGTACATAGTACGGAGTATAGGTACTCCGTATAGCTATGTGCAATAAATATGGGTCTTCACATTCAGAAGATTTCCCCAGCACCCGAATGGGACAAAGCTTCAAACAAAGACCAGGCCAGAAGCAGAGTGGCGATGCCAGGTCTCGCTACTAAAAATACCGGCAAATTCATGTTTTCGAGATGCCAAGACTACTTTACCGCCGCGTGACACTCCGCGCAGCGGAAAAGACTTGGCATGCTAGCCCCTTAATCTGAGAGACCCAGAGACTTTCTCCCCGATCAATCAGACTACCATGTCTTATGACTTCCAAAGTGTGCTAGAAGACATCCAGTTAAAGTGTTTCGTTTCCCCCCTAACCGCTTGACGGGTACGCCGGGAAGAGGGGGCCTTGGCATGACTACAAAAGGAAAATTCAACGCCAAGAGTCCCAAAACTGGGCTGAGCAAAGCTGGGCATCTGCATCCAGAACGAAGTCAGGCAGCAGGATTGGTTGTGCCAATGTTTTGGATCGCTTTGTACATAATCCCGCTATGGCACGCCAAGTGACTGGTTTCATAAATCTGATGGGTTCTAAATGATTACCTTTTTGTCCCAGGGGATTAACACTCATATCCTCCTCCTGGCCTCGATGCACTCGATTTCTTTCTCAAATCTACCAGTCCTATGCATTTCCTCCGATGTCTCCGATGTCGGTCGCCCCTGTCGCGTCAAATGAGGTCTATAACCCTTTCTAGGTGGTTGTTGGCCACTGTTTTGGCTTGCCTTATCGTACAAAATGCAGTCGCAATTGAAGTTAACCCCGAAGATGAGAGTAGGTTCATTTCATACTCTAGCTATTCACCTCAAATGACTTACATCTACCTTTTCCGACAGCCTCCCTCAAAAATGCCGCCAAAACCGTCGCTACCACCATGATGAAGTTCTACGATGACCGCGACTCGAAAGATATCCCGGGTAAAATGGACGGTACCTGGTGGGAGGGTGGTTCGATGTTCATGACCCTCATTCAGTACTGGTACTTAACAGGCGACAGCCAGTTCAACGACGCCATCCAGGAAGGCATGTATTGGCAAAAAGGCGAAAACGACTTCTTCCCAAGCAACTACTCCCAATACCTCGGCAACGACGATCAAGTGTTCTGGGGATTAGCAGCGATAACGGCCGGAGAGCTGAACTTCCCCGAAAAAGACGGCGAAGCCTCCTGGGTTTCTCTGGCCGAGGGTGTCTTCAACGGACAGGTTCCTCGCTGGGATATGAACACTTGCGGTGGAGGCCTGCGATGGCAAATTTGGCCTTACCAGAACGGATACGGGCTGAAAAATGCTATCTCAAATGGTGGCTTGTTCCAGCTGTCAGCACGTCTGGCACTATACACCAAAAATGCGACATATGCCGAGTGGGCCGAGAAAATCTGGGATTGGAGTCACTCTACGCCGCTGTTGAGGAAGAACTGGGTTATCGCCGATACCACCTCTGTCGCTGCCAGTTGTAAGGATCACGGTGATCATCAATGGACTTATAATTACGCTACGTATATCGCCGGTGCGGGTTATATGCACAACTACGTATGTCCACCCCCTGTCACCCACATGTTGACTAACCGGGGTATCAAAATTAACTGAGTTCATAGACGAACGGCACCGAAAGCAAATGGCTTGAAGGTGTTTCAGGACTGATTGGGGCATCCGAACAGTTTTTCCCAGAATCTGGTGGGAAGCAAATTATATCCGATATCACCTGCGAACCGATCAACAAATGCGATCGTAATCAGAAGACCTTCAAGGCTTACTTTACTTCATGGCTCGGATTCATGTCGCTGATTGTGCCCTCCAATGTCACCGCGGACGTAATGGCAAGATTCAAGAGCTCCGCTGTCGCCGCCGGTCAACAATGCTCTGGTGGAAACGATGGGACGGATTGTGGAGTTCGCTGGACGAAGAAGACAGAATGGGATGGGAGTTCAGGCTTGGAGCAGCAGATGTCTGTTCTGGGTGTCCTCAACGCCGTCATGGTCCCCTTCAAGGGCCAGGGCCCATACAATGCCGACAATGGTGGTAAATCCCGAAGTGACCCGCATGGGGGCACCAATACAAAGGATACTGTGGGACCTGAACCTATCACGACAGGTGATAGGGTTGGCGCGGGATTCCTGACTGCGCTTTTCATTATACTCTGGATTGGGTCTGTATATTTCATGCTTCGAGGCCAATAGAATTACTCCAATGAAAAGGCTCATAAATACATGTACATTTGAATTTTTGATACCTTGGGAGTTTGAGGATTTTTTGCGTTGTTTTTGAGCGCTAGCAACCTATTTATAGTTGAGATTTATCCAATAGCAAACAAAATTGAAGCACAATCAGTGGCCATAATTCAATCTGGAGTCCAGTACATGTTCTTGATATTTATCTTTTTTTCTCAACACATAAAAGCTCGCATAGTGTAGATCTAGATGATAAACAAATAAATAGAACATTCGTTTGTTACATCTAGTAGATGACATTATCTAGACTTGCGCCTTCAAGTGTGAGGGCAAAGCCTAGAGAGTATCATGTAATGAAAAGCCACCGAAGGAGAAAGAGATCCTGGACGAACAGGAGAGCAAGTATGCATCAGAGAGCTACAATTCCAGCACCATATCACAATGAATGTCTTGCTGTTCTTCCTTTTGTTCTGTTTGTATTTTAGGCCTCTTCATCCTCTGTGGTTTCAACGGCCTTATTCTCATCCTGTAGGGCTGCCTCTCTAGCCTCCACAAGCCTAGCGACACAATCCTTGGCACGCTGAAGACGCTTTTTTGCTGCATTGGTGGAGATGCCGTAGTGCTGAGCGACAGCAGGAAAGTCGATCTGGGGTATGACACTCATATCAGTGCCGAGAAGTGATTGATGAGTGGGAGACAAGTTACCTTAGTTCCTGTCACCTCGATACAGGTAAGTACAAACTCGAGCCTCTCTTTCAGTAATCCATGACTAGTGTCTGGGGTAGGCTTAGCAAGGGCCTTCTTGGTAGGCGTAGCCTTGGTGACTTCATTGGAAGACATGGCGAAGACGGATGATCAGTTGCTGTTATGAGCTTGTCTGATGTAAATGGGAATGAGCGAGGGATAATTTTCTCTTGAATTAAGGAACTTAGGGAGAGGAGGAAGCAAAGTATTGAGGACTGAGATCAAGGATCAAATTTATATCCTGATCTGATAGCAAACAACTTTGGCATACCTTCCTTCCTCCCCTCCTCATTTGGTGTATATTGTGTGAAATAAGAGCCCAAAATTTGAGTTACAGCAATGTGATTCAAATGAATAATAGATTATATAGACCAACCTCAAGTTGTACTTCAGACCCTTAGCATGGAGTATTTCACCAAATCAACATTTAGGCCTACGGCAGTTTACACATCAACCACATCAACCACATCAACCACATCATCACATCAACCACATCAACCACATCAACCACATCAACCACATCAACCACATCAATCACATCAATCACATATGTTGACATTTGATCACCTGAAGCACAAACCCATTATGTCATGAAGATCGTCATCAATTATTTCTTGTTTGGGACTAGTCAGTCTAAACCCTAACTGCCTGTCTTCACCCTGTTCAAAGGCCGACCCGACCCGCCTCACAATGAAGGGAATTGCTTGACTCTTCGGCAAATCGGATATCTCCAGAATGGGTAATTCAGTGGAGCCAATTCTAACTCCATAAGGCTAATCAAGGGACTGTTGATAGGCGGAAGACTTGTTTCCGGGGATTTGCGGGGAAATTTATGAAACCAGAACAGCATCTCGATGAGGGAAGAGAACTGGAGTTGGAATCCTATAAGAGCCAAGGTCTCCCTCTCCCAATATATTCTTCTCTTGCCATCTCCAGTCCCACCATGTTTTGCTATCTTCCGTTCTTTGTCTCCCTGGTAGCTGCCACCAACCTCTATGCCACTCACTACGACGGCAACATCTACACACTCTCTCTTGATAGCGCAAACTCCCTTTCGATCTCTTCATCGCTGAAAACATGTGGTGATGCTCCTAGTTGGCTTACATTCGATGCATCCACGCGCACAATCTATTGCTCTGACCACTCCGGCAATGGGACTATGAATGGCTCCCTGAGCTCCTACTCTGTGGATCAGCATGGGAAACTGACGGAGCTTGCAAAGACTGTGGACGTAGGTGCCGCGGTCCACAGTATCATGTATGGCGGAGAGCACGGGCACGAAAATTATTTGGCCGTTGCGCATTAGTGAGTGATTTTGATGTCGAATAAGCCAGACGGGCAGGCCGACCCATAAAAAAATAAACTAACATTTATTAGTGGCGGCTCTGCACTTTCGACCTTTGCCCTACCCCTTCGCTCCGATAAAGAGCCCTTGCAAGTCTTCCGCTACCAAATACCCCAGCCCGGTATTAAGCCCCAGCAAGATGCACCGCACCCGCACCAGGTGATCCTCGATCCAACTGGTGATTTCGTTCTTGTTCCCGATTTGGGCGCCGACCAGGTTCGTGTGTACGCAATTAACAAGCGCACGGGGCATCTGAATTCGTGCCCTAGTCTTAATTACACCGCTGGGAGTGGACCGCGACACGGATTGTTCTGGAGGTCCAACCCCAAGCATCCTGCACACGCTCCAGTGACTATGCTTTACACTGTTAGTGAATTAGGCGGCCACTTTAATTCGTTCGTTGTCTCTTACTTGCCTTCTGGTTGTCTCGGGTTCCGGGAAACCCAATCCTTTGTGCCATACCCAGGCGGACAGTTACCGGCCGGGGGTGCACCAGCGGAGCTCGCTATGAGTGGAAATTCTCTTTATGCCTCAATTCGCTTCGATCAAGGATTCTCTCCAAATGATTCCATATCGACTTTGACTCGTTTTTCCAATGGCACGGTGAACTTTAGTGAAATCACGTCTTCATACGGCACCATTCCCCGCACTTTTGTTGTCAATAAGAAGGGTACTCTGGTGGCTATTGGAAACCAGGCTTCATCGAATGTAGCCATTGTCAGAAGGAATCCACAGAATGGAAAGCTCGGCAAACTAGTCGCCAACTTGCAGGTTGGACTGCCTGGCCAGGCTAGTAATTCGTCAACAGGGCTGGGTAGCATCATATGGGAAGATTGAGCTCTTCAAATCAACTCGATTTCCAAGGAAGCGTGAACATTATTATGGTAAGTGTCACGGTTGCCTATTCGGGGTAAGAGAGGGATTCGTCTACATTGGCACTCTATATAGAGTTACTTATTATGTAGAATGCACCTGATATTACAACCGGATATGGTTTAGAAAAGTTCGATTAGAGAGCTCCTACTTAGACTTGTTTGGTCGCTATAGCTCTGATACTAAACCCTCTACCTCCTGAGATACCATGGCGCCCACTAATGAGAAGTCAATCAATAACCGTCCCGAGGTTGCGGGAAAATAGAATAGATGAATTGCCGATACAATTCTTCCGATCCACTCCGCAAAGAGTGATGGAAATATCAGCCTCCATCCTTCAGTCATGACAACATGCATGTTTTCAGGCTCGCCACCCGTAGCCCGCATAATTCTCCCGCACCGCAGATCCTTCCCCATAGGACTTACCTGGCATATCACGTACTACGCAGAATGATGCACCTGTGATCTATTTTGTACAGCCGGCTGAATTTCACTCTCCGTATCTGATGTGAGCCGTTTTGTGTCACCCTCATCTTCGTGGTAATACACCATGTCATTACTATCTATGAACACCATCTATTTCCCACCTTTTGCTGCCGTCTACATATAAGTCTAAAAGATTGTAACACTATCTAGGGGCTTCTGAAAGGCATATCCGAGCTGCCCGCAGAAAAGACCGCTGAAAAGATATCAGAGGGCCGTATATGCGGCCGTCTACTCTTACTAAGAATAGATAATAGGATATCGTGCAGTGTTTGAATCTAAAAAGAATTGGCAAGTGAACAATTTGCAGCCACGACTATTCAAAGTGCCAAAGACTTCAGAATGCATAGCTTTGGGTCGATATTTATCCTGAGATACCCAGACTTTCGCCCTCGACTCGCTGGATAAGCACAGCCGTGGCACCCCCACCCCCATTACAGATAGCAGCAATGCCATACTGATCGTGATCCAGCTGGTGCAAGAGACTGACTAGAAGTCGACAACCTGAGCTGCCCAACGGATGTCCAAATGCGATAGCACCCCCATTGACATTAACAGTATCAGGATCCAAGCCAAGCAGCTAATCAAGAAGTCAGTGAGATGAAGCGATTTGGGTTCTGATCGTGGATTGACACACCTGCTGTGAAGCTATCACCACGATCGCAAATGCTTCGTTGATTTCCCATAACGAGATCTGTTCAACACACATTTGGGCCCTCTCCAGGACAAGCTGAATGGCCTTGGTTGGAGCCAGAGCAAACTCATGCGGAGGAACGGCGGCATCGGCGTAAGCCACTATCTTTGCTAACACTCGATTCTCCCGGCAGTACTGACTGGCGACTTCTGCGTCTACAAGCACCACTGCGGAAGCGCCGTCACTTAGTGGGCAGGCATTCGCCGCAGTGACCGTGCCATCGGGGCCGAACACGGGTTTTAAAGAACGAATTCGCCCAAAGAGGCTCTCATGGGGAAGGCTGTCGGTGTCAAATATTCTGGTCGTGTCCACTGACACGGGAATAATCTCTCTTTGGAAGACATTACTCTGCTGCGCTCGAGAAGCCCGATTATAGGTGGCGGAGGCATAGGCATCCTGGTCCTCACGGGAGATACCCATTTGCTTAGCAACAGCTTCGGCACAGGCGCCCATGGACCGGGCATCTGAGGCATTAGTCAATCCATCAAGCGAGAGACCATCAATCACCTGTTTCTCTTTGGAGTTGCAATTATCTCCTTTTGTCAAGTACCCCGGAACATTTGACATGCTCTCCATCCCCCCGGCTACCTGAGCAACGGCATAACCCAATTGGATATTCTGGGCGGCACATGTAATGGCCTTGATCCCAGAAGCGCATACTTTGTTTATTGTGGTAGCCTCAATATCTGGTGCCAGCCCAGCCTGCATCGCAGCTTGCTTTGCAGGAGCCTGTCCAACACCAGCTTGAAGCACTTGACCCATGTAAACATCTGAGAATAAATCAAGGGGCACATGTGAGCGATGGAGGGCTTCACGAATCACTATGGCTCCCAGTGTGGTGCTTGGGACAGAGTCTAGCTGCGTATTAATCTACACCAATTGAATGACAGTTCAAAAGTCCTAGGGAGCTCGTCTAGACTCACGCGTGCGATGGGGGTCCTCGCGGCCCCAACAATGTATACCGGATTCATCATGTTGTAGCTGTCAGGGTGGGACCATAATGATCAAGTGTGCCCAATCTCCTTTTTATGCCCTACCTCAGCCCGGATAACTTGCACTGGGCAAAAAATTTTGGAGATGTATATGTTGCACAGTCTCGCTGATCTCATGCAGGTAAATATTGATGGAGTAGCTTCCGGTGTATCTGTAGGTCTGATCAACCGTGCCAAGACATCACTGTTCACTTCGGCGGAGAATATACCTGTTCTCACTTTCTTGCCTTTGCGTCATAATAAAGTATCATTGAATGTCATTAGTCGGGTGCTTCCAAGGGCTTGCAGAAAGCTGTTGCATATCTGATTCTAGCCCACTGGTCTCGCTGAACTCATGTAGGCATACATCGATGGAGTAGCAATGTCTGTAGATCACCCTATAAATCATGCCAAAAGATTGGCATCCAAGTAGAGACTAAGTACATCTCAGGCTCTAGTCCGTGGGAGTTTATGTACCTGAATTGGCTGGTTGTTCCGGGCCTCCAAAAGCTGAATATGTAGCTCTTGGTGCAAGAGGACTAGAGGAGAGATAACACGCGCAGCTCGGCCATCTGGAAGAATCAACATATGCAGCATTCTTCATTGATGTGCGACGTCAAATCACATCTCGTACATCCCTCTCACAGTAAATGTTGCTCACTTTCTATAAAAGTTAGATATGTGTAGATCGTAGACGTAGGCTTTGGTAGGAGTCGAATAGGATGTCGAATACATGTAGTCGATTACATACGGTATTAGAAACAAGGTTGGGATCAGCATGTAGCATGAAGAACTTATCCTGCTACAAAATTTTGGGATTATACAACAAGATATGGACTATGACAGGACTTGGAATTAACGCTCTGAAGGTATGGAACCGGAAATGAAGAAACGGTTGATATACATATTGATAAATACGTTTGGAAAGTGACAAAGCACTTCGGTTAGCACATGAAAACTACATTTGAAATTGTCAATGTATGATGATTTATGTAGGTAGGCAGGTATATATAGTGCTGTCTTTCCCTATTCTGCTCCTGGCTTGGACTTCAGACTTCACTATTTATGCGCAATGGAATCAATCAACCACACCAGAGCGGAGCCTATCGCCATCGTTGGAATGGCATGTAGGCTCCCTCCGGCAATTTCTAATTTGGGAGAGTTTTGGAACTTCTGTGCTCATGGAAAAAGTGCCTGGACTGAGAACCCTGACGGACGTTTTGAGAATGCGGCCTTTTGGAACAAGAATTCTGAACGGAAAGGAAAAGCGAGTATATTCATTCTCAATCAAAAGCTCGTGGGTCTGACCAGATGGTTAGATCAACAACAAAGGAGGCTATTACTTGAGACACAACCTTGCCCATTTTGATGCTCCATTTTTCCGCATTACAGCCAACGAAGCCAAGGTGAGTGTGACTGAGAGCTTTCTTTTGCCGATTTAACAAATTTATTGCTCCATAATAGGCTATGGATCCACAGCAACGGTTTCTCCTTGAGATTACCTACGAAGCGTTGGAGAATGGTGGGCGAAGCTCCTGTGATTTGTTGTGTTGCAACCCGCTGACCAAATTTAAAACAGGCGGCTTTCCAATGGAGGAAATGGCTGGCAAGAATGTTGCAGTCTTTGCGGCTAACTCATTCTCGGACTACTTGCACGGTATCACAAGGGACCCTGAGACTGCGCCTACCTTTGCAATGACCGGATGTGACCCCTGCATGATTGCAAACCGAGTGTCCCATTTCTTCGACTTTCGTGGCCCTAGCATTACTGTAGATACCGCTTGCTCTTCAGGTTTGACTGCCATCCACTTGGCCTGTCAGACTCTTCGTTCGGGAGATGCCCCTTATGCCATCGTGACCGCTGCACACCTGAATATATATCCCCAGAGCACCATTATATACTCATTATCCCAGTCAGTCCACTTTCTGACTTTCCTTTACATCTAGTTTACACTAACCTTAGTGGACAGGCTTCTTTCGCCGGAAGGGAAGTGTTACGCGTTCGACGACCGGGCTACGGGGGGTTTCGGTAGAGGAGAGGGAGCAGCATCCTTGGTGCTCAAACCTCTCAGCGCGGCTCTTGAAGCAGGCGACCATATCTACACTGTCATCAAAAACACTGGTGTCAATCAGGATGGCCGGACAAATGCTGGACTCACTGTGCCAAGTGGTGAGGCCCAAGAGAGCTTAATTCGATCCGTGTACGCCTCCTGTGGCCTCGACCCATCCCAGACTAGGTATGTGGAGGCTCATGGAACCGGAACTGCCGTTGGTGATCCAATTGAGGTGGGTGCCATTGCCAATATCTTCGGCAAACAGAGCGCCAGCTTGGAGCCAGCATTTATCGGATCAGCAAAGTCAAACTTTGGCCATTTAGAGGGGGTTAGTGGCCTAGCATCGGTTATCAAGACTGCCATGATGCTTGAAAAAGGGATGTTGTTGCCTAACACGAACTTTACCAATCCGAATCCCAAACTACATCTGGAGGAGAACAACCTTCAAGTGCTCACTGAGATACAGCCCTGGCCCAAATCAGGGGCTCGTAGGGCATCCATTAACAATTTTGGTATCGGGGGCTCTAACTCGCATGGTATCTTTGAGCAAGCACCACCGAGACCTAGCCAGAAACCGTCCAAGTGCTCGTATATTTTTGCCCTCTCGGCCAACTCCGAATACTCAAATCGAGTTCAGCTGAGCCAGTTGTCGACTTATGTGCGAAAGCATCCCCCATTATTCAACCAGACCATCATGGAGGACCTTGCTTTCACCCTCTCAGCGCGAAGATCTCTGCTACCTTGGAAGACTGTCATTACGGCAAACAGTCATACTCAGCTTATCGAGAAGCTGAATGCGGAGTCTTTGACACCAACACGTTCGACTAAGCGGCCATTGGTGGGTCTAGTCTTCACCGGCCAAGGTGCCCACTGGCCACAGATGGGGCAAGAGCTTGTCTCTTACCCCGTCTTTCAGAAATCCCTCCAGAAATCGCAAGTTATACTTCAGGAGCTAGGGGCTACCTGGGAGCTGCAATGTGAGAACATAAATAACTGTCATAGAATATCCCGAGCGGTACGCTGACTGTCTGTAGATGAACTATTCAGAAGCGCAGAAGACTCTCAACTCGGTGTTGCGCAGATCAGTCAAGTCGCCTGCTGCGTCATACAAATTGCTTTGGTAGACCTGTTGCGTTCATGGGGATTGGATATTACCGCTGTGGTCGGCCATTCTAGCGGCGAAATAGCCGCTGGCTATGCAGCCGGCCACCTATCTGCTGCCACATGCATCAAGGTGGCATATCATCGTGGAATGGCAGCAGTGGAGATAAAAAAGCAATTCCCGAACGTAAACGGGTCAATGATTGCTGTGGGATGCAGCGAGGCTGTGTTACAGCCCCTACTGGCCTCCCTGGTGTGTGGCTTGGCCACCATTGCGTGCAAGAACAGTACCTCCAGCTTTACGGTATCTGGCGACCGCACCGCAATCGAGGAGCTTCATGCCTTGTGCAATGCACAGAATATTTTCAACCGTATCTTGAGCGTTGATGTTGCCTATCACTCGAGTCACATGGAGCTCGTTGCTGAAAGCTATCTCGCAGCCCTGTCCGAGATCGATTGCGTCGAGAGTTCAGTGAAGTTCTTCTCTTCAACCAAGGGTAGCCTACTTGGAAAGCCAACCTTTGACAACCGTTACTGGACGAGCAACCTGACTGGAAAAGTTCTTTTTTCGGACTCTCTCTCGGCTATGTGTCGCTATACTGAGTCAATTAACGGAGAGAAACGGGCAATAGACATTCTCGTGGAAGTTGGTCCCCACGCAGCCCTCAAAGGCCCTGTCTCTCATATGCTGAAAAGTATTGCAAGGGACCAAGATGTTGGATACTTCCCAACACTGGTCAGAGGCAAGAATGGGATCCATACCATGCATGAACTGGCTGCCTCACTGTTTTCGAAGGGATTACCCATCGACCTCCAGAAAGTCAATTTTGACAACAGTCAAAATGTATCCAAGCAGTTTGCTGTGTTGGGGGATCTTCCATCTTACCCGTGGAAACATGAGGAAGAATACTGGCATGAATCGCGAATCAACAAGTTTTATCGGACAAACAAGGTGCCTTATAATGATTTACTGGGCTCATTTGCTACAGATTTCAACAATTTGGAGCCTCGGTGGAGGAGCATCATTCGCTTGGATGACCTGCCATGGCTTCGCGATCATCGTGTGCAGTCGGAAGTGGTCTTCCCCATGGCTGGCTACATTTCAATGGCCATCGAGGCTGTATCGCAATATCACCTGCTCCAGGGGAAGACCGAGGGCAAATCATACATTCTTCGAGAGGTGTTGGTCAAGCACCCGTTGATACTCTCTGAGATGGTCGAGTATGATGTGACCTTGTCACTTCGACCGTGTATCACTGGCCCACAAACTCCGTCAACAAAATGGTACGAATTTGCCATATTTTCATGCACCGGAGACTTGGAGTTTGAAGAACGTTGCAGAGGCAAAATTTCCGTTTCAGACAAGTCTCAAATTAGGGTCAAAAGTGACCAAATTTCGCCGGACGACTTTGCCGGAGTCGAACTGGATAACACCAACTTCTATACAGCAGTCAAGAACACGGGTGTTGAGTATGGTGCCTCACTTTTGGGCCTGTTTGATATAAAAGCCACTGGATGCAAAGCTATTGCAAAAATGAGGATTCCAGAGACCGCCACGAACATGCCTTCTATGTGCGAGAGTGCGTATGTGTTGCATCCAGCAACAGTCAATATTCTCATGCAGACAGCCTTAGTGCTTTTGCACTCCCAGCCTGGAGGACTGGACAAACTCTACATACCCCGCTATATCGAGGAAATTGAGGTCCGACCTCTAACCACCCTGGCAGCAGGCAAAGATCTCGCCATCGGTGGGACCATTTCGAACACATCTCCAGATGATCCAGTATTTTCCATATTTGCACAGCATATTGGTGGAACTTTTATCTCAATCAACGGTCTTCAATGTCGGGGACAACCTTTGCCAGAAATTTCCTCGGCCATGACTGACTTCTGTCACAAGCTCGAATGGATGCCCTGGGTTGACATTCTCTCGCCTAATGAGATGCGTCGCGCTTTTGAAGTGCCCAGCAATGGCGCTGCTGACGAAAAATCACGTATCAGACTACTCAAGAATGTTTCATTGTACTACATGCACAAGGCGCTGGAGCAGCTGGGGGATTATGGTGGATCACGATACGTGAACATGTACCGCTGGATGAAAGAGAAAGACCAAGAGCTATGGGAGAATACTTTAGACGAACAACAGGGCCAAGATCTTATACAAAACGCACGCCAGTCAGGGCCTGTTGGAAAGTTACTTTGTCGGATGGGCGAAAACCTCGTCCAGGTCGTTCGCGAAGAAGTGGAGCCTCTTAGTCTGTTGCTAGAAGACGATTTACTCACGAGCTACTACGAGAACTTGGAGCCCCTGAAAAATCGTCTGTATCCCGCAGCAGCATCAATCGTTGTTTCCTTGGCTCACCAGAATCCGAACTTGCGCATCTTGGAGATTGGGGCTGGAACAGGGGGGCGACGTTGCCTATTTTACAAGCTCTCAGTGATTCAGCAGCAAGTGGTCACCCAATTTTTGAATCCTATGTTTTCACTGATGTGAGTGCCGGGTTTTTTGAAAAATCCAAGCTCAAGCTCCAGGCATGGAAGCATATGTTGGAGTTCCGCATTTTGAATATCGAAACCTCACCCGAAGAACAAGGCTTGATAGAAGAGAGCTACGATCTGATCATCGCGGTGAATGTCTTACACGCAACGGTCAATATGTCAAACACAATGAAGAATGTTCGCTCTCTTCTCAAACCCGGCGGTAAGCTACTTTTGTTGGAAATCACAAGGCCAGACCTCACGCTTTTCCCCTTCACGTCATTACCCGGCTGGTGGCTTGGGGAGGAGGAATTCCGCCAAAATGGACCGACCCTTTCGCCCATGACTTGGGACAGAGTTTTAAAATCAGCCGGTTTCTCTGGTATTCAGGCAGAGCTTCAAGATTACCCCAACACCCTCGAGCAAGAAAACTCCTTGATTGTGAGCTCGGCCACAGCATCCGACCAGTGGAGCCCAAGCGATGATCTTACCATTGTCACGAGTGGTTCTTCAGGGGGCCTTGCCGAAGCGCTCAAGACCAGCCTAACAGAATCCCTAGGAATTACCGTACGTGTCATGACACTCGAGGCCATCGCCACCGAGCACAATATTTTGAAGAGCTGGATCGTACTGGAAGACTTCAATGCTCCGCTCCTGCACAGTATCAACAAGCCTCAGTATTGGGGCCTCCAGCGCATTGGCGAGGCGGACAGAAGTCTGTGGGTGGTAGCAGGAGCCAACCAGGAGTCTGTAAACCCTCGGCCTAGCATGACCTTGGGGCTCGCCAGAAGTATCCGGGAGGAAAATCACCACCTGAAGCTTGTGGTATTGGATCTAGATCTTAAGAACCAGCTCCCAACTGCCGAAGCTGCTGCCATGATTCACCGCGTCTTTTCACACTCATTTATCAAAGCCGACACACCTCTGGCAGAGCTCGAACTCTCTGAAAGGAACGGGATAATTCATATTCCACGATACAAGCCGGACGCTGGAATGAACCAGTTGATTACCGACACTCGGGAGCAATTTGCACCGAGATCCCAAGCCGGCTTGGATGGTGGACATGTACTCAAGATGCGAGTACAATCAACAGAGGCTTCCAAAGGCTTTATATTTGTTGATAATGGTCTACCCCTACCGGCCATCAATGACTTGGATGTTGAAATTGAGGTTAAGGCTAGTGGTGTCAGCTTTCAAGACGTCCTAGTTACCAACAGCAATGTTAATGAAGACCTTGGCTATGAATGCAGCGGTGTAATAACAGCGATCGGGCTTGGGGTCCAGGACCTAGGCGTTGGCGATCGTGTTTGTGCCTTGACAAGAGGTACATACGCATCCGTTGTACGATGTCCTTCGGTCCAGGTGGTCAAGATTCCCGATGAAATGACATATACAACTGCGGCAGCTATCCCAATGGCCTTTGTCACAGCCTACTACTCCCTGGTAACGGTTGGTCACCTCAAGCAAGACGAAACCATCCTCATTCACCAAGCTGCTGGAGGTGTCGGCCAGATGGCCGTAAGAATTGCGCAGTCTATTGGAGCTAAGGTGTATGCGACGGTCGTATCTGTCGAGAAGAAAGAAGCAATCGCAGACTATTTCCAGATTCCATTCGATCACATCTTCTGCGCGGATCAGGTCTCATCGTATGAAGATCTGATGAATGCAACAACAGGGAGGGGATATGATGTCGTCGTGAATACCCAGTCCAACGAAGCGTTGCATGTATCGTGGAAGTGCATGGCACTGCATGGGAGATTTGTGAATCTTGCCCTCGCAGGTACTTCGGATGAAAACCATCTTTCTATGAAGCCGTTCAACATAGGTGCCTCTTTTCTTTCGATAAACCTGGAGGCCCTGATGAAGACCAAACCTGAGCTGTTGCACGATATTTTGACCCGGGGGATTGAGTGGTACACCACTGGGATGATTGAGCCGGCTATGTCACCCAAGTGCTACCCCGTTGGAGCGATAGAAGATGCCTTCAACCATCTTAGTCAGGGTGATTCGATCGGGAAGCTAGTCATTGACCTTTCATCCCCAGGGCCAGTATTGGTAAAGCCCTTTTCAATGCGAACTTGAATGGTCAAATGCTGATTTGCGAGAATAGGCGATCAAAGATGAGTCATGTGTGCCGTTGTTCACGCCTGATGAGTCCTACCTTGTCATGGATGGCGGTGACAGTATTGGACGCAGCATAATCCGGTGGATGGGCCGCAGAGGTGCTAAAAACATCATCATCATGACTCGCAGCGGGTCAGAATCCCCCAAAGTGCGCGAGCTGGAGTCGGAGATGCGAATGAAAGGAATACGACTGGCGATATATCAAGGTGATTTTGCGGATGCCAACAGCCTAGAACATGTTATCCAGGAGAGTTCAAAGATTCTTCCGCCTATACGAGGTGTCATTCACAGTGATGCGGTGCTTAGAGTGAGTAAATCTGACTTTGCTTCTCCCAGATTTGCCACATACTAAATCCTGCGCTCTAGACTATGTTGTTCGAGACCATGCCGTTTGAAGATTATTGCGCAGTAGTCAGTCCCAGGGTCCAGGGTGCATGGAACTTACATCAGTGTTTCAGTGATTCCCAGAGTCTCAGGTTTTTCATCATCATCTCTTCCATTACTGGTACTGTTGGGACTCCAATCCACGCTGCCTACGGTGCTGCTACAACCTATTTGGGCTCACTGGCACGAATGCGGAAGGCTCAAGGCCTCCCTGGCATTTCCGTCGACTTGGGACCGGTGATCAAAGTTGGAGGTATTTCCGAGCAGAGAAGTCGACAGCAAGTCATCGACAAAGACTGGGGCGATGAGGGTCTCACCGAGATGGATGTCAACAACATTCTGGATACAGTGATCAGTGGACAATATGATCCCAGCTGGGATGCTGAATGCTATACTTGCTTACTGCCGTCCCCATTGCGTGTTCCTTTCTGGTTTGCGGATAGTCGATTCATCCATTGCCGGCATCCTGATCTCGTGGGAGAACAGGGCATCGATAGCATCGATGACAAACCAGTTATACCGCTAGGGCAGCTGTTGTCCAACAGTCAGTCTGCCGAGGAAGACCGATCTATCATATACGAGGCCATTGTGGGGAAGTTCGTCTCGGTCTTGTCGTTACACCCGGATGACATTGTACCCTCGAGTCCTCCTAGTACGTATGGAGTGGATTCATTGGTCGCCAGTGAAATCCGCAATTGGATTGCACGTGAAATGAAGGCGAGTCTGAGCCTACCAGAGCTCATGAGCAGTGCTTCTTTTGTGGAGTTGTCCAACACTATCACTCAACGGTATCGGGTAGCCGTAGGGGCCTGATTCTATTCTACGAGTTGCCGTCGTGTGGTTTCCGTTAAATATGAATTGAAAAAATCCCGGATCCGCTCCCCGAAGTCCCATGTGGTCAAATGACAAAAGGTGAATCAGAGACAGCATGTTGAATAATCCCAATAGTCACATACCTGCCTATAATCTATTGGTATGATTTATATACTGTGAATGAATAGTTGAGCATATTAACCACATTCAAAAACACGAGGAAAAGTGATGCATTGTGAAGTTTCACTAAGAAAGTGTTCGTGCTTCTACGTAGATCTAGGACACACTACATCTGATATCAACGTGTATATCAACATTTTTTTCTCAACTTCCACTGGTTGGATTTTATTTAAATCTGCATAATATACTTATATAGTGATTGCAATCATATATTTCAACTTTAAAGTCTTTTCGATAAGTAGGAGGGCTAGAATACAATGATTACCACTTCCTAGTTGATCCCCTTGAATGGGAGTTGGGTTGGGCCCCGCAGGTAGCCGATAGCCCACTGCCGGTTGGGCTATGGGCCTGGACCCCAGGCCCATTTGTAGGCTTTGCGCAGCGCTAGTTTCACGGCTTCAACAACATCATATTGTATCATTTTGATGACCTCATCTAGTCCGTGGACTCGAACACATAATTTTCACAATGGTAATTTATCTTGGTTGATTAAAGAATGTATAGCAAATACTCATGCTATAAAGATTGAACATAGTTGATCCTCCCAAATGCTGAGATGAAGGTGCTGGTGCCGCGGGGCCCAGCGCCAACTGGCTAACTTCTGCCACCCCCTATGCAAATCGCCATCCCCCAACATCCGCAGAAGAAAAAGCCATGCCGTACAACACTGATGATGATTGATCCGACTTCCTGAGAAGAAATGAATTATACTAGCCAAAATGCCCAAGGGGGTTCAATTTGTTGAAAACGTTGTCAGGGTCATATTGTCTTTTCACCTTGAGCAAGGCATCGGCATTAACACCGAACATATCTTCTGGTGTCATATTATCCCCTACGGCAGATTTAGTGCGTATTCCTCAAGCTATGTATTCTCCCTCTGGGACTCACCGTCAGTGTAACCGAAGAAGGTCGACACCAGTTGATCTGGTTTGAAACCAGCTTGCCGTAGCTCATTCTCACACATATTCTGGATTTTGACCCCCCATGCTATATAGTCCTCATCCTTACTCAGATCAGTCCACTGGAGAATGAGGGCCCCATTAAGAGTCATTGTACGACTTGGGAAGGCAGTCTCGGTAATAGAAACACCATAGACCTTGGAGAGATCAAAATAATCAATCTCGAGACAGCTATTGGCCAATTCTGGCACTGCGGCGAGTTTGCGACCAATTTGCATCAACAATTGCGAAGCAAAATCAGGCCTCATAGGTGGAGCAACCTTCACACCAATGATCTTTTTCCTTCCGCCGGGTGGCACTGCGTCGTCGAGCAGGGTGTTGGCCTTTGCGTATGGCCTCATTTCCATATTCATGCTGATACATTCCAAGTCTGCAAGACCCGCAAAATGTATCCTCCCTTCCTCCTCGGGGCCATTGAAAAAAAGCACAGTCGTGACAACCGGGGCTTTACTATCAGGTGATAGGGCAAATACACATTGCGCTGCCGCGTTCCCGTGTGGATGAAGAAGGGCGCCGTTGAGTGCCTCAACAACTTCATTCACTTTGTCAGGCATGAACGTCATGGTACCACACCAAACCATGTTGGGCTGGGTGTGTGCCTGGAATCTCAATTCCGCTGCCACTCCGACATTCGCTCCAGCGCCCCGAATCGCCCAGAACAGGTCAGGGTGCTCATTTGCTGATGCACTTAGGACCTGTCCGTCGGCAGTGACCACTTTTGCAGAAAGAAGATTGTCAAGGACTAGCCCATACTTTGGTGTTAGGTATCCATATCCGCCGCGCATACTGACTCCCCCAACGCCCGTTTGGCTGGCTGTGCCGCCAACTACGGCCAGGTCAAGCATAGCGGCAGTATCGTTCACATCCTTCCACAGTGCGCCACCCTGTGCGGTGACAGTCGAGTCGATAGGGTTGACACTGACTTGTCTCATGCTGCCAAGATCGATCAAAATGCCCCCGTCACTCGAGGAGGAGGTATCTGTGGAATGTCCTCCGCCCTTGACTGCCAAATCCAGTTGGTTGTCCATGGCAAAACGCACAGTGGATGCAAGATCCTCGACGGTCTTTGGGCGTATAGCAACTCCCTATGTGACATGTCAGTCCAAGTTCAGTATCCCGCGTGGTGCAGGGGGGGTTTACCGCTCGTTGACGTCCAATTGCTGACCATCTTTCCAGACTCTTTTCATACTCTTTAGAGCCTGGATAAAAAACGGAGTTTGGCTGTTTGACTTCATATCTCAGCATCTGTATCTGTTCTTGCGATATTTTCGAGGCCATCATGCTTTGCAGAGCACAAGTCGGCCAGGCAATATGGAAAAGACCTGTTTGTAGATAAATGCTGTTATCTCCCTTGTATTTATAGACACATTGCTTCACATTGCTTCCAATTTTATTTCACTACACCAACCATCCGGTTTGACCAAGTGACGAGTGTTCAACGCACTGATCTGACTTGAGTTTGCCTCGGAACGGAAAAGATATGCAACCCTTAAGTTTAGTATATCAACTAGCCTCGTGCTGTCGGCGAAGAGGGTTAACTAGTGCAAACGGGGCTCCCAATAGTATTTCTCTATGAATCCTAACGTGATAAATAATATACATACAATTTCATTGCGACGTACCCCAAACAAAAAGGCAATGGATGACGAAGGGCCGAGTAACACCGAAGAACTAAACAGTCTGATCAGAGATATTCCGATGCCTTGTACTTTTTGGAATAAAGTCTAACAAGTCCACTAATACCTACCTAGGTAGGTACATGCCTGAATTTACATAATGAACTACCTAATGTGAGTCTCGGTGCATATAACGTCGTAGACTACAATTCGCCTCTATGATATCCGACGGAGATTCAATTCAAGTTACATCGCACAAGACGTTCAGAAAGGTCGGCGTGGCAAGGCCAAAAAGGCAATGAATGGCGAAGAAATTAGTAACATCAAAGACCTGATCAGTTTGATTAGACATGAGTGGCAATAGTCAGTAGACGCCTATTCGCCGCCCCGGGCAACATAACACCCTGAAGTCTGACGTAGATTAGTCTTAGTGGGCTATGCTTCATCTTGCTAGAAAAAAAACAAAGACGTCAGGAGAAACACTATATCTTATAAAATGTCTGGTGCTCTGCTGTGTTTTCTTGGAGCAAGACTTTCCAACAGCAAGTCTATCCATTATCAGACCATCAGGTTCTGTCATATCTTTGTTTCGAACAAACTTATCATCAGCTACTTCGACTAGCATTCAACAAAATGGAACAACGCCTTGTCCAACGTGCAATCGCTTCTCCCAATGCAATTGCAGTGATCGATGGCAATACCACCATCAGTTACCAAGAGCTACTTGCACGAGCTGATATACTGGTTGAGAAACTGCATGAAAGGTCAATCGAGCTTGGGGAGCCTGTTTGTATCTTGCTTGGGTCTAGTTATCAACAGATCCTATCACAAGTTGCTGTCCTCCGAGCTGGAGGGACATGTGCTCCCATCGATCCCTCCATGCCTTCTCTCCGCCTGATGAACATGCTGCGAGATATCAATTCTCGCTTGGTCATCACCAGCGAGGCCCTGATGGATCGAGTGTCAGACTTCGAAGTCATTCGAGTGGAAGAAGCAAGCGCGCCAAATATCACTATAAGGAAAACAGGCCCTCCTCGTGTACGTGCGGGACGTTTGAAAACCCATCGCAGCCATATATTCTTCACCTCCGGCTCCACGGGCCAGCCAAAACCCGTTCCGGTCCTAGCCTGCAGTATTCTCCACGTTATGGACTTCAAGCCAGCTACATTCAACTCATCTGACCGCATGGCTATGTTCGTCAATCCAGGATTCGATTTCGCCATCTTGGAGGTTTGGTCGTCGCTACTTGCTGGGGCGGCAGTCATTCAAATCCCAAAACTGATCGTCACAGATCCGTTTGCTCTCACTGATTTTCTAGACAACCAAAAGGTTACATTGATGATTATACCAACGGCCCTTTTCAATGTTATTGCCCTGAATGCACCCATCGCATTTCGTGGTCTGCGTCACCTCTTTGTGGGAGGCGAGCCTGTGAATAAAAATGCAATGAGAAAAGTTCTCATAAACGGCCCACCAGCAAACATGTGGAATGCATACGGCCCCACGGAGGCAACCATATTTGTAACAGTATGTCGTGTCGATCTAGAGGAGACACATCGTCCTCGCATCAGCATCGGGCGAGTTTTCGGAGACTCCAAAATTTATCTGCTAGACGAACACCTCAGGCTTGTTACTGGTACACATCAAACCGGGGAGATTTGTGTTGCCGGACCTCAGGTATCACCGGGATATCTGAACAGATCTATTGAGAGTACGAGGCAATTTATACACGTCGATTCTACCACACTAGGGGAGAAGGCCGGGGCATCCATCCGTCTGTACCGTACTGGGGACTTGGCCCAATGGGAAGACTCATCCGGTCGGCTGGAGTATATTGGTCGAGCAGACAGACAGGTGAAATGTTCCGGGTATCGAGTGGAGTTGGGTGATATCGAGCGTACGCTAGAGAGGCACCCCCAAGTGGGATCGTGTGTTGTCATCCAACACAAGCAGGAGGACTCAGAGGCTTTGTTGGCCTTCATAGTTCCCGCCGAATGCCAAACTCAAGTCCAGGTGTCCGCAATTATCAATTGGGCAAAAGAAAGGTTGCCTTATTATATGGTCCCTAGTTCGATTCAAAGTCTCAGGGAATTTCCTCTTTCATCTACCGGAAAGATTGATAGAAATGCTCTGGTTCCTGATTCACACAAGGCAACAAAGCAGGAGAAATCTGAGGACCAGCAGCCTTCACGAGTGGAAGGCGAAATTGACTGGCTCCAATCGCATCTCCAAGGTTTGCTGAATGTATCACACCTTGACCCCAAGAAGAATATATTCTCTCTGGGTGTCAGCTCGCTACAGGCTGCCCAGCTAGTAGGGAAGATCAGGCAGCACAGCGGGAAACCAGTGACGCTGGCACAAGTACATGCCTACCCTACCGTGGAAAGTCTTACAACTCTCCTGCAAAGCCCTGACAACGACAGCGCTGATGTTGCCCAGACAACACGATGGGCACAAGATTCCCGTCTAGTGGATGATTTAGTTTCTCCTCCAGATTGGCAATCTGCTGACGAAGGACGAGTTTTCATCACAGGAGCTACTGGATTCCTAGGCGCATACTTACTCCATCGACTTCTGTCCTTGCCTAGTGTTAAGAAAGTTGCCTGCCTAGCCCGAAGCCAAGGGAATTTTACGGCAAATGACCGCATTCAGAAAGCATTGGAAAAATATGACCTTTGGGATGGCAGGCTGGAGATAACTCAAAAGATTATCGCTCTTGACGGAGACCTCACAGATGCCACTCTAGGTCTAGGGGATGACAAATTCTCCTGGCTCAGCAACTGGGCCAGCGTAATCTTTCACAATGGTGCGCGAGTGAACTGGTGCGAGCCGTACGAGGCTCTTTATGAGCCAAATGTGGTTGGCACACGAAATGTTATCCGACTCACCACATTGGGCCGACGCAAGGCAATACATTATATTTCCTCAGTTGGCACGTGGAATGTAACTGGCCTTGTGAACAAAACGAAGAGAGTCTTCGAAGATGGCCCGCTCACACCACATCTGGAATCACTTCGTTACGACATGGGATACTCGCAGACCAAGTGGGTGGCGGATGAAATGGTTCAGAGGGCGCGGGACCGTGGCTTACCCGCGATCATCTATCGACCAGGGTTCGTGATTGGGGATAGTTCACGAGGCTATGGAAATGCAGATGATTTCTTTGCACGGCTGATCATGGGGTCGATTCAGAGCGGCCAATTTCCTCATCTTCCTCACCAGCGTTTAGAATATGTGACGGTGGACTTTGTCTGCTCGGCCATTTTACATATTGCATCAAAGGCTGAGTGTCTCGGTCGGTCATACCATCTCGTCCCCCCGGACGTGGTACAGTCAGTGACTATAGAAGAGACATGCAGCTTGCTTAATCAAGCTGGATATCCAGTCAAGCAAGTCCCATACCAGGAATGGCTAGAAGCAATTCAGAATTATCCGGGGAGTCCATTGGAGCCGTTGCTACCAATGCTGCAGGAACCAGTTCTGGGGGACTTGACTCGATTGCAGACAAGCATACATCCACCAGTCTATGATACCCAAAATTTTGTCCAAGCGTTGGAAGATCGGCCGGACATCAAATATGTTCCTTTGGATCCTGAGTTACTGCAACGATGTATCGACTTTTGGGTGAGCAGGGGTCACCATTCTCTCTGCAGGAATGGAAAATTGTAACCGAAATCAACTTCGGCCTACGCTTTCAGCTTCACTTTCTTGCCAGAAGTAATGAAGGGGACATTTCCTGGCAGTTACAAGGTCTTGAGGTATTTATTCAAACCAGATTGACGCTGACTCCAGCCCGGCAAGCTAAACACGCAATATGAGGCCCAAAGTGGTTTATAATTGGCAAGTGTAGACGGCCGCAGAAGTGGCCCTATGATGTCTTTCTTATAGGGCTTTTTAGTGGTCTTTTCAGCAGTCTTTTCAATAGCTTTCTGGGTGGGCTTCCCGGTCTTTATTAGATATCTTTAAGATAGTTTTCCTTCTTTCTAGTCTATTCAAGACGGCAGAAAAAGGCGAAAAAAGCATACTCTGTGCAAGCGACGTTTCTATGTATAACTTCTGTTTGACTGATTCCGGAACTTTTACAGATTGCAAACCAATTGATCCAGCGGATGCAGCTTTGCTCTCTATTTGCACTAGCCCATAACAGAACATAGCCGGGCATTTAATCCCCTTGCGTATGCCGCTAGCAAACTTTCAACCCCAAATTTTCCTCAGGCAATGCAAGGCGATTAACTGAAGTCTCGATCTCAGAGTGTCGGTAACGCCTAAATGTTGCCTCTCAGATGCAGTGGCCGTCTTATCCAGATTTATGAAAGGCATACCAGTTTCGAAAGGCCTCGTTGACGCAGGAATGGAATCCAGGCCCTCGGACCCCACAATAAAACAACCAAGAACATCGGCTACAGCATCCCCCAAATGAGGAAGAAGATGCAGCGTGATTATCCTGTGTCGCCAGGTAGCAAGCGTCTCAAAGCGGGTGAGAGCACTCGAGCTTATACATATTGCTTTGGCCCGGAGCTTTCGGCCTGAAGCCCAGGAAGACAAGTCAAGATTAATAGCCTCAACCGAGAGGGGTGAAGCAGATTGTGATTTCATCATAGAAGCCAGGCAGTTTGCCAATGACGCGGCATTTTCGATGGCAGTATTGGCGCCAAGGCCCAAAGTATGAGTCGTCTGTCAATTGAATCAGTGTTGTCTCTAATTAGTTCTAGATAACGTGTACTCGCCTTGTGGATTGAGTCTCCAAGGCATACAACTTGCCTCCATGTCCAGTGCTCGTATGTTGCCTCTTCAAGTGGAGCGTAGTGGCAATATGTGGTGTTGTCGTAGATAGACTTGAGTCGGATATTAGGAGCCACTTCTTGCTCCAGATAACGGCTAATATGTGCTTCTATTTCAGATTTGTTGTATCTCGGAATATGAGGACTCCGATACTGTTTGTCCATTTTGACAGTCAGATACCAGTAAAAGTGATTTTTTGTTCCAGGAGTGAGCAAGAAGCTAAATCCCCTGCCCATCGTGCGATGTGTTACTCCATCTTCAATCCCAGCTACGGCTTTGGATACTCCATACACACACGAGTATTCAGCTGTCATTGCTATTGGCATTGATGAGAAAGCGAACATTTGAGGTCATTCTCCTGTATAGACATACCTGTCTCGTCTGTGTCCAAAATCTCTTCTAACCTATCATCTTTCATATGCTGCCACATGTCTTGCCGAACTGAGCTGTGGACTCCATCAGCACCGATGATGATATCACCTTTGAATGAGCTGCCATCAGAGCAATGTGCGATGATCCCCTCTGCACAATGCTCAGCCTTGACAAATCTCTTCCGCAGTAGGATCTTTTCTTTCTCGTAAATATGGTTGAGAAGGATCTGAAGCAGCTGTCCGCGGTCGATCCATCCAGCTGGGTATCCGTGACTATGCAAGTCAGCAGTCTATTTACCCAGGAATTATCTTGAGCTCACCGATCTTGAACGACATTGAGTGTATCACACTTGCTCAGTAACCTCCCATTCTCCTGCCACGCATAAAGAGTCCCATTTGGTATCATCGACTGAGTTATATCATTCAACATGCCCATTTGATCCAAGATTCTTGTTCCGTGACTCATAAGACATACGGCAGCTCCAAGACACGGTGAGATGACATCCCGGGTTTCAAGCACGAGAAAGTCAATCTTCATGCGAGACAGTGCATTGGCAAGCGTCAAGCCTGTAATCGATCCTCCGACTATGATAACTTTGAAATGCGATTGATGCAATTTTTCAGCCATCTTGGTGCTGGAGGTGAGGAATCGAATAAGATTGATTTTTCCATGGCCGGCAATCCCTTCCTTAAGTAGTCATCTTCCCGGACTGTCTTCAAGCAATGCCGCCTAGTTGCTAGTCGCCACTCGTTCTACGTTTACACCAATAGCCAGGACAATGCAGTATAGCAAGAATTCCCAATGAGGTAATGCACCATGCAGATGAATCAAACGGGTGTGTCGGCCTTGTTATGCAATAGAACAAGATAAGATTGGTATGCCATCTGGTTTGTAGGACAGCATATCGGGTATCCTGATATTATGCAATGATGAGCATACGAGGTTGGACATACAATCCTGTGTAATGACATGGTTCTCGCGCTAAATGACGGAAATATAAGCCCTTTGTGTAGGAGGTAGGCTCTGGTGGTGAGAATTATATGAATTTGCAAATGAAGGATCCAACAGAGTGTTCTGGAAACGATGCTTCGAGCACTTCTTGATCTTACACCCTCGGCCTACTTTCATACATTGTCAAATCGAGAATATCTTGGCTCCAGTCCCGTATCACGCGCGGGAGATACAGGACCATGCGATTTACAAGTTTATCTCGGGGCTTGCTTCTTCTGATAGATACCCATTCTGGGTGATCTTCCATACCGGAGTAAGCCAGTTGTTTTGTTATTGTTAAGCTTCTAATATAATACCCTACTCATAGAAGTAGAAGCAACTCCACTCGAAGAAAAATCGGAAGTCAACCATTGATGAAAAGTCAGTCATCCTGAAGCCGAAAATCTGTCCTGGGCTTAAATTTCCTTTCCTAGCCCGGCAAAGGCCCTCAATCACCCATTTATCTAAGTTATCGCTTTATCAAAAGATAAATGCGTACTTGAGAGAACTTTCACTTCCAAATTCTTTCTTGTCATTGGTGCAAAGTAGTCTCCCCATTTCATATCATCAGTTGTAGTCTCGTATAGCTGCATGTCGAGACAGCGAAACATATATGCGAAGCCTAGATATAACTCGGAATACGCGAGGCTAGAGATTGACCGTTTGTGTAAGTTCCAGCATATGGTACATTGAGAAAATCAGAAGATTCATATAGGCATAGATGTTGTGACCTACTTGATTCCGATACAGCCCCTGGAGCCCCTGGAAAAGGATACCAAATGGCGATCCAGGTACTTGAAGTCATCACCAAGCCAGCGATCAGGCTTAAAAGAATGCGGATCTGGAAATATTGAGCTATCAGTGTTGTAAACATACTGGCTAAGCGAAAGCACGGTCTGTAGTCATGAAGTCAGTGGATTGACATAGTACGCGAACTAAAGGAGCATACTCCGGGGGGGTATATATTGTCCGCACAGCGTGGCGCCAGATGGCGGTACAAGACGTGGGAGTCGTCCTGGGGCCCCATGAGAGAAGCGAAGCGACTCTTTTACAACGGCTCTCTAGAAACATCACGATTGGTCATTTTCAAGCCCCATATATGATTCGAACAAAAGCTCAGTTACGTACTAGGTAAGGTAGCTTCTCAAGTGTGTCTGCAGTTGGCATTGGCTGGTCGGCAAGTATTGCATTTGAAAGCCCCTGCTGGAGTCTTCTTTGAATTCCGGGGTTATTCAAGACATGAAAAGTGCCATGAATCAGGGCATTTGCTGTTGACTCCTCGCCACCAACCAGGAAAACTAAGGCCTCGGCCGTGAGGTCATCAAAAGATGGCACTGGTAGATTTGTTTTTGCATCTGGTTGTAGAATCAGGTCGAATATGCTCGGATGCTGTTGCTCTGTCAACTTGGATCGATTGAGGGTATCTAGAACCAGTCCTTGGGCTTGCTATACAAAGAGACATCAGCAGCAGAAAGAAAAGAAAGAAGAACGCAAACAGTTTATTTGCCAACTCACAGTGCGTAGGTGAAACACTGCAGCCAGCATTGTATTCCACTTTGCGAGAGCAGGAAATCGCAGGGCAAGGCCAACAAAGGACCTGAAAAAGCCGTGAAACGTGCGGATAAGGACTGTAGAGACAAGAAAATAATTCATATAAGCCACAGGTGGATATGCAAAATCCGGAAAATCGAGCGCCCCAATTGCTCTCTGCCATCCGTAGTTCATGATCAGGTCTGTGGTAAGCGAGTGATAGCCTCTTGTGAGATTGACTACTCTGTTATCATTGCCGTATTCACTCAAGATCTCAATGAATTTCATGACGGTGGCATGAATCAGAGGTTCGCCTCTTGCAACGGCTGCTTTAGAGAGAAATGGCGCAAACATCTCTCGTCGGGACTTGGAAGACTTGAGGTCTGGCATATTGAAGTGAGATCCTTCTCCAAGAGGATGATCGTAGAATCGACGCTCTTTGTCAAACTTTGTGCCGACGCTAAAAACCTCATCATAAGCATCAACGTCGTGGATATGTAGCTCGTTGGGATAGGTTCGGACGATTGGCCCTATAAATGATCGGTGAGATGTGAGTAAAAATGGCATTCAACAAGTCCGTACCATATTTTTGATGAAGTTCTGGGAGTCTTAAAGTGTATTGGCCGCCTTTGATCAACGTCCAATACGCGCCGTAAAGGTTCGTAGCAGCAGCCAGCTTGGGTCCCGGGAACCGGGCAAGGGGATGGAAGTATAGCCTATAGATCATACGAAGGCACTGGAGCCCCAAAAGGCCGGCTATAAGCCATGGTACAATCATCTTGACAAAGGGATTGTTGGAGATTGGAAAAAAAAAACCTGTGAGGTGCTTTTGTGGAGTACTTATCATACACTCCCAGCCTGGCTATCGATTGCATCTTTGATTGATATACATGAGATTCTTCTCATCTCGTCTTGGGTCACTCTGCTGTCTTCTCGCCGTGTGACATAACCATTTAGATGTGCCACAAATGCGAAACACAATGTATGCACATGCGGGTGAGGCTGACTAGAAACACAAAATACGCTATGTTCTATGAGCGCCGGTGAACGACTTCGAAGTTGCTTTCCTTAAGCGATACCTTGCCTATCGTGTAGCCATTGAAACAGATGGATTGTGCTTGGAAACTCGGTATATCTGAAAAGAATCAAAGTCCAAATCCCTCGAGATATGCACTGTGCGGATCGAAATATACCTCTACCACAACGTAAGATTGTTTGAATCCGCGATTAAGCTAATTCAGAGACTTCTCTCGCCCTATATAAACTGCATTATCCCCTATCTTCAAACAACTAGATCCTTTAGGTACAGACGAAACCAATCTACTTCAATGCCTTCAATGGATGTGAGAGCATCTCTTTCTGAAGCCTTCTGGGCTATCCCATTCAATCTCTACACAGCCTTCCTTTTTACCAAGTCTGACTTCAAGACCATCATTGCACCTACAATGTGCTGTGTGCTAGCAGCTCTTGTTAGTCCCTCTGATATACAAGTATTTACTTTGGATTTTCTTTGCGCCCTCGCCAATTCCTTTGTGTGGTGTTGGCTCAATCTTTTCATCTTCAACATCGAGAATCAAACACGCAGCTACTCAATCATCGAGGACCAAGTCAATAAGGAATGGCGACCAATCCCATCAAACCGAGTCACACTTTCCAGTGCCCAAATCGTCAGATACTTTGCCATCTTACTGTGCGCCATCTACTCTCACTACTTTGGGGTCAGCGCGCTGGCAGGGCTTTTCTTATATTTTGGTTTCCTTTACAACAACACGAATGTCCACGAGACAGCTTTAGCACGCAATGTTTTCTGCGCGTTAGCCTACGCGATCATGGGCCTTGGTGCAAATTTAGTGGCTTTGCGGACTTCCAGACGTATTAGCCCACTCACAGCTGTTAAGCCTCTGACTCAATTGTATCTATTCGATTGGAAAGAACTAGATTCACCCAGTTACCAGTGGTTGGCAGTCTTTTCTATGGTCATCTTGAGCACTATTCATATCAGCGACTTTCCGGATATAGATGGGGATATAAAGCTTGGTCGAAAAACCCTGCCTATTCTTGTCGGCATCTCTAGAGGAACTAAAGTCACAGCTTACATGATCATGGGATGGAGTGTATTTATTGCTTTCCCTAATTTTGCTGCGGCAACTACTTTTGCTTGTGGTATAATAGCGATGGGTATGATGGTGTGCTATCTGTTGCTGCAAGGGCAAAGTGACCGTTGGTCACGAAAGCACGAGCGTGCTTACATGTACTACACTATCTGGTTGAGCCTGATTGCTTTTGCACCTATACTCACTCGTTAAGAGGCTCATTCCTCATGAGAATGGATGAGCCTGTTACTGAGGGAAGAAGGACATAGAAATGTATGAATTGTAGACTCAATTGAATCAATAGAGGGCAACCCTACATGTAGGCGCACAACTTGCAGAAGCCAGCATAACACCATGTTCGGTGGTATCGGTGTACATGCAACATTTCCATCAAATGATCAAGATTCAGATACTACTTTTGTTTGGTGCTTTAGCTTCCATATCTTCTTTTCGGTTTTTCCAAGAAATCTGCGTAGTTCGTTTATTAGTTCATGAGGTCACTGACCCTACGAATTCGCACCATCTTCTTCATACGAATTAACACTGATTGCCCATTTTGTTTGATGGGAGAATATATCCAAATGGATTGCGAATCATGCGTCGTATCCTAAGGAATAATCTGTAAAATAGCTTTGTGGGAGCACGCCGCGTACACATATCTCTGAGCAAGCTTTGCCACACCAAGATTTTCTTTTAGGCATGCAATAGAGCAAAAGGAGAATCGACTTATGCGTAGGCCTCACCATGTATCCTTATGCACGGTGTTACAAATGGACTCATGTTCACCACTGATGTATATCTGGTTCTGGCGTGTAGCGAAACGTGACGTTGAGTAGTCTTTACTCCAGCCATGGGCTTCGGCCATGATCACTACGACCGCCCAAGTCGCCGTAGCTGTCTATTGCCAGGACTTATTGTTCTCTGTCCATGCTTGAAGTTTACAAACAGAAGCTCCAGGCACATATTTTTCAACCTCTTCATGTCGAATGATTCAAACCTAGGTAGGTAAGTTACGAATGAAGAACTGGCCATGGCCAGCCTCGGAAGGAGTCATTTTCAACGTCAGTTTCATAGATCCCCACATTATATGTGTAAAGAGCCAACCCGCCACGCTTGATCATCGAACATAAGACATCAGAGCCATTAGTCAAGTAGACACAGTATAATGAAGACAGCAAGGTATTGCCTTCAGTCTGCTAAACTCTGACAAATGCTATAAGTGGAGTATCACATTAGCACTATATCCGAAACCATATATATACTACAAGAGGGGCATAAAGAGGGATAGACACTTACTAGCATCAATTTGCTGGATATTCGGCAACGCCAAGCGCACCTTATTCCGGTAAACAGCTGGGCCATTCAATTGCAACGGGTTTCCCTCGAAGTAAACAGTCTGCAGTTTCTCCTTATCCTTGAGCTCGCGTTCGACTTCCTCGAAGCTAGAAAGCTGGTTATTTGAACCCCATAGCTCCTCAAGATTCTTTAGTGAAGAAAGATGTTCAAGATGGGAGACCTGGTTGTTGGAAAAGTCCAGTATGCGCAGTGACTCGTTGGATTCCAGTCCTGAAAGGTCGGTTACTGCATTGTGAGAGAGGTAAAGTTCTTCAAGCTTGGGGAGCGCGGAGAGACCCGTGATTTTTGTCAGGCGATTGGATTGAATGGAGATGATGCGAAGGTTTGAGAGGTTGTCCAGGTTCTGTGAAGGTGTCAAATTAAGTCACTTGTTAGGGTATGCAGGGTGACGCTTGCGCACCTTCATTTCGGTGATCTTGTTTTTCCCGAGCCAGAGTTCTTCCAGCGCGGTCAGTGTTTCCAGGTTTTCAATTTCCTGAACAGACCCATGTCAGCTTTATATTGCTCACCTCAAATGTAGGTATTGTATCGTACTAACCCGAATCTTATTCGCGCCCAGCTCCAGGTTCTTGATTCCGGTCAATTCCTCCAGACCTTCGATACGGGAGATTTTGTTTTGCACAAAGAAAATCTCGGTCAGCTTCTTCAGATGCGAGATATTCTTGATATGCTTGATCTTGTTGAAGCTCAGATCCAAGCTCGTCAAGTTGTGGAACTCCTCCAAACCCTTGATGTGGGAAATGAGGTTATCGTAGAGGTCGAGTTCGGTGAGACTAGCGGCGACATTTGGAGGGAAATTGATGCGTGATATTTGATTCTGGCGCATGCATAGTCGCTATATATTCCAGCGCGTTAGCTATCTGTGTGAAATGAAGGGATGCCGTGCCGTCGCGCTTTTGTGCTAGCTGAGGAAAAAGTGGTACCATATGCCCCCTCTCCCCTACGAGGCACATGAGGATTCCACGGTTGTTGGGGGTATGTACCTGAAGCTTAGGGAAACGTTCTAATTTAAGAGCAGAAATTGACGATATCCGGCAATGCACGAGGTCAATATCCTATAGCAGGCGAACGATTAGCAATCACGTCGCGCGGGCCTCGATCAGCGGAAAGTCCAGGGCTGTCTGCCTACCTCTGCATTGACATCTTCATCTGCCAATAAATCTGAACAGTCGTTAGTTTCTCAACTCGCGAACGACCGCTCGACGCTGAGCTTTCAATCCAGCGACCGTACCTTCATCAGCCTCAATCTCATCGACTGGGGGTGCATCCGGATCCGAGTAATCTGAGTCTTCCAGCGCCTCCGGGTTTGTAATAACAGCCTTGGGCTCCATCCTCATCTTCCCATCCCAGCCCTCCTTATTCTTCATGATTTCAGCCAGTGTGAGAGATGTGGGATGTTTGGGGGTGGGCGGTGGGAATTGCGATTGCGGGGAGCTTTCGTTTTTATCGGGCGATAATCGCCAATGGGTTTAGGCAATATCAAGGTGAGCTCGAAAGAAGTAAAGAGGCAACAAAGAGGTTGCAGTGAGAGTAAAGAATTCAAAACTTGGTTTCGGGAAGGTCCAGATGACTACATCATTGTCTTAATGCGGTCTGAATGCGGAATAGCCCCGAGGCACTTCAACTGACTAACATAATAACTTCTAGATCATGGATAATAACGAATATGTCAATAATGAAGGGGTCGAATACATTTCTACTCTAATACAACTTGCTCCATTTTGTTTTCTGGATGCCTCTTCTCGGGGGCTATGTACAGCATCGAAAGCCGTGATCATGTACATTGCATAAAAGAATCACTCCAACTTTAGCAGCATAAAGGGGATTATTAGACACTGCTCACTATGGAGATGTATACCACTGCCAGGCAGAACCCCCAGCAAAAAGAGGACACAATGAAATGCATGCCCATGTATTTGGTGAGCTGAGATCGAGGCAGTAAGGCCATGTAGCAAAGCAGAAATTGGAAAGGAGAAACATAGGGGGGATACAGCGGGAATATGATAACCAAGAGACGCCTGCGGAATGCATAAAAAGCGGACTTGTTGGGTGTTGAAGAGGGAAGGGAAGAGAGTACACAAAAATGGAAGGTCAGGACATGAGGGGGTGTTGATAAAG